GTTCTGAGTTTACAGCAACCCTGTATAAAGTTTCTGAGGAGTGGCTGGGAAGCTTGAACCACTGACATTGAGGGTTCAACCCGACTTTGCATTCCAGCGCATTAACCCACAGAGTCACTATAGGGGTAAGAACTATAAATATTTGCAGGAGAAGAAAGCCTCATCTTTCTCCCTTGGAGTGGCTGGTAGACTTGGACTGACCTTGTAGTTCACAGTCTAGTGCTTGTCCTACAGTTACCATCTGCCCCTTATCAGACATAGTGATCCTATGTTTTAATGCCTTGCGTTTTACACATATTATCTCTTGCTCCCCACACCTGGAGGCCAGGGATGGTTAGAGTCTGTAGCCCTCTCAATGGGAACTCCTTAGGCTCAGATGTAACTTGTTCACTTCTGCAGAAAAGGGGTCTTGGCTACTAGGCAAGTGTGGAGGGTGCAGTGTATGGGGCTAGCGCGCCCTCTAGCGGCTGTTGTGAAAACCGCTTTGTCCCCTCCACCCAGGGCTGCCCGAGGTCTGTTTGGCAAAGGCCTGGAGGAAGTCTTCTTTTCTGCACCTCCTGTGTTTTGTCTGCTATGGTCCCACCTCCCTGGATCTGAAGGCTGTCTCTCCCTTGCTGTCCCTTCTCAGGGTTTCCCATAAACCCCGCCTTGGTTGCCATGGAGACCACATGTACACAGTTTCCCCTCCCCTTAGATCCAGGGAGGGCCTGCGGGCAGGAGCCACCTGGTTTCGAGCCCGCTGGGGCTGGACTGCCGGAAGCCCATGAACAACAGGGCCCGGCGGACACTGGTTGTGGGGAGAGTGAAATACTTCGGCCAGCACCGCGGGGAGGTGAGATCCAGCTCCGCTTTGCGTACAATCTCGGGTCTTGGCTTGGAGTTTGTGGCTCCTGAGTATTCCCTGGGATCTAGCTCCTACCAATAGCGACCCTGTATACGGTTTTTGATGAACAGCTGGTGGGTTTGAACCACCGATCTTGCAGTTCAAACTGACCTTGTGGTCCTGCGCATTATCCTGCAGTGCCACACCAGGACTCTGAGTCTTGAGTAGACATTGTTAATGGAAAGGGTCCCAAGTAGACTTTCCATCCCTGGTCTGGGTTCTAGTTCCAGAATAGTTTGGGCTATGGTTTCATAAAGGTCTCTGAATTCCAGACTGTGGTTCTAGAAAGCGTTCCAGGCTTTGAACTCTGACTCCAAAGAAGGCTTTGGGTTCTGAGCCCTGGTTCTAAAATGAGGCTGAGTTCGAGCCTTAAGCCTCTGGGGCAGTGATTTAGGACTGGCCCAGAAGTCTGGGATTAGGAATGAGTAAAACATGTGTTTCCTTTCCCAGGGTGGGGCAACTTTCGTTCTCTACTTTCAGGTCAACTCCTCTGCCTTCTCCCCCAACTGCCAGACACTACTCACAGCCTCAGATGATGGCTGTGTGTATGGCTGGGAGACCCAGAGCAGACAGCTGCTGTGGAGGCTGGGTGGACACACAGGTGAGGCTCCAGTAGTCTAGATGGAGAGGCCAAGACCTGTGTATGTGTGTGTTCTGGTATTCTGAAGAGTCTATACCACAGTGACCTCTGACATTTGTGTGAGCATCAGTGCATGTCAGCCTGGGCAGAGCTGGGCTAGAAGGGCAAGGAGCCAGAACCTGGTTCCTGGGCTTGGATCCTGTCTCCTCTTTCTGCAATAATTGGTTGTCGTATCACCAGAGCCTGTATTTCCTCCTCTGTATAATGGTGCTAAGTCCTGGCAGTGTACTGGCTGCTAACGGTAAGGTCGCTAGTTTGAACCCACCAGCCACTCAGTGGGAGACCGATGTTTCTGCCAGTTGGACTCTGACTTTAGGGCTGCTGGGAGTTAGTATTGACTACATGGTAACGTGTTTTGTTTTTGTTTTTGCTTTGTTTAAAATGGAGACATTGAGAGTTTCAAAAAGTCTGTGCAAAAATGCTGTTATCTTTCAATTCTATGAACTTTTTGAAGCCCCCAAATAGTAGCTACCCTATGTTGTTGTTAAGTGCCGTCGAGTTGGTTCCGAACCATAGCGACCCTGAACAGGGTTTCCGAGGCTGTACATCTTTACGGGAGTAGAAAGCCTCCTCTTTGTCCCGCGGAGCAGCTGGTCGTTTCAAACTGCTGACCTTGTGATTCGCAGCCTGATTCATAACCACTACACTACCAGAGCTCCTTAGCTACCCTATAGGGTGAGATAATGCAAATAAAGTGCCTGGCACCCAGTGAAAATTGGATAGATGTAACTATGATTTCTGAAACCAAAAAATATACTAATTACAAACTCAGACCAAACCAAACCAAACCCATTGTCATCCAGCCAATGACGCTGGATCTGAGACGTCTAAAGGGAGCAGAAAGCCTCATCGATCTCCCAAGGAGTGGCTGGTGGGGTTGAACTCCCGACCTTGCAGTTAGCAGTCCAATGCTTATCCTACAGCACAACCAGAGCTCTTCATTAGATAGGCTATGGTTAATTATTAATTATAATAAATGCTATGATGGAGGAGAGTTCAGGGAAATTCTAAGCAAGCAATGAACCTAGACTGGGCTATTTAGGGATTGGTGTCCAGGCCAAGGGCTCAGTGTAGGCAAAGGCATGGAGGTCCAGCTATTGGGCAGGATAGGAGTGAAGGAGGGATGTAGGTGAAGAGGCTGAAGAGATTAGCAGGGATTGAACACCAGGAGCAGGGAGGGGGTGGAGTAGTGTCCTGTTGTTTGACCATGACCACTGCCCCAGGCCCTGTGAAGTTCTGCCGCTTCTCCCCTGATGGCCGCCTCTTTGCCAGCTCCTCCTGTGACTGCACGATCCGCCTATGGGATGTGGCAAGAGCCAAATGTCTGCAGATCCTGAAGGGTGAGTGGACTGGGAGGGGCTGGAAGTAACCAAGCAGCCAGGCCTGAGTTCTTTTGGATCTCATTTTCCATGCTACCTCCTTTCCTTGCCCCCGCCTGCCCACCCCACCGGGCTGGTACCCACAGGTCACCAAAGGAGTGTAGAGACAGTCAGCTTCAGTCCTGACTCGAGGCAGCTGGCATCAGGTGGCTGGGACAAGAGGGTGATGCTCTGGGATGTGCAGGTATGTGGAAGGGCCTGGAGGGCCACATCCTGCACACCGGCTTCAGGTTCTCCATACAGCCTTGTCCTGGCTCAAACCCTTCTGTAGTTCTCTTCACCTATCCAAGGCCCTCACATCTTGCTGCTACCTCTGCATATTTAGTTCCTTCTGCCTGGGTTGCTCTTCCTCTCCCATCTTCAGAGCCCAGGAAGCCTCCCTAGACCCTGACTTGTCACATTAGCCTGGCAGCCCAAAGCTTCTTGGGTGCCCTCACTGCCACCCTCCAGCTCATGCACTTCTCCAGTCAGGTCAGATGTTGCGCCTCTTACTTGGGCACCGTGATTCTGTCCAGAGCAGTGACTTCTCTCCAAGTGCTGACTGTCTGGTGAGCCAATGCCACCCTGCCCTGACCCCCACTTCAGTACCCCTACAGGATGAGGGAAACTGGAGTTCAATGCCCACTTTTCCATCTCAGGCCAAGAAGTGGAGGGTGTGGATGGGTTAGAATTCTAGACCTTTCTAACAATTTTACTGAGCATTTCCTTGTCTGTAACATGGGGGTTCGGCAGGGCTGAGTGATGTTTGAATGACCCTCAAAGATCAGGGTCAGCCCAGGCACTAAAAGAATGGGTGTGAGTCAGTGGGTCCAAGCTCATTGCAGCCATCCCTAGGCCACTGGTTCCTGGGACTCCACCATGCGTATCTGGGACCTTCGGGCTGGAAGCCAAGAGGCCTTCCTCCAGAGACTGGAGGGCCACAGTGGTAACATCAGCTGTGTGTGCTACTCAGCATCTGGCCTCCTGGTGAGCTGGATTGTCCTGGGGTCTGGGATGGCCCCTTGTTGACTACAAGACCTTTGGATGGTTGCAGAGCCCAGTGAGCATGGAGATTCCATGCCCATGGCTTGGGCTCAGATCTTCCTACTGTCTAGGCATCTGGCTCCTGGGACAAGACCATCTGCATCTGGAAGCCACAGACAGCCAGCCTGCTTGTCCAACTTAAGGGCCATGCCACCTGGGTGAAGAGCATAGCTTTCTCCCCAGATGAGTTGTGGCTGGTCAGTGCTGGCTATTCCCACCAGGTAATCCCAAACCTCCAGCTCCAAACCCTAGTCTCCTTCTGACCAATTCCTACTCCAAATCAAGCTCCCCTCAAAAATGTACCCCCCCCCAGTAGGTGGCAACCTACTGTTCTTGTTAAGTGGGTCCTGACTCACAGTGACCCTGTATGTACAACGTTTGACTTTTCTGTTCAAACCAACCTTATGGTCAAGAGCTTATCCTATGGTGCCCAGTCTAAAGGGCTGGTGTTGGCTGGGACTTCCTACCAGATAATATCAAAGATGCTAGACCAACCTGGTAAGGTCTCCAGCTTTCAATTGTTTTATTTCCCAGGTCAAAGTTTGGGACTGCACGACAGGGACGTGCACAGAGACCCTAAAGGTGAGACTTGTGGAAAGTCCCCAGGGAGAGGCTGGGGACAGAGGGTGCCCAGAACCATGCTGTGCTTTTGTTAGGGAAGCCTGGATGTGGCCCACGCATGTGCCTTCACCCCAGATGGAAAACTCTTAGTGTCTGGAGCTGCTGATCCCAAACACTGACTGACCAAGTCACCCAGAGCCAGATAGCAACCAGGAGACCTCTGGAAACATCACTCCAACAGAAATGGCCTTCTAGAGTTCCAACAGGCAGGGCTGTTCCATGCCACAGGCTCAACATAACTGAAGCAGACTTCTGTAGCCAGGTGGGCCACAGCCCAACACCAAGAGCATGCTAGAATCCACCAGACGCCCCCAGTGACCACTCCAGCCCCGGTCCCTCCAGCCCAGTTGATGGAACCATCTTCAAACACAAAGCAATGGGTCAGCCAGTTTGTGTTTATTGAGGTAAGACGCTCAGGCCTTGACGGCATACTTCCGCAGCGGGTACAGCCTCTCCTTCCGCTGCTGTTTCTTGGTCTTCAGGTTCTCCTCGTGCTTGTTGAGCCTGCGGCGCATAGCTCGCGTTTTCTTGGGGCGCAGATCCAGGGGTTTGTACTTCTTACCCTGGATGAGGGAGGGGCAAGCAAGGTGAGTCTGAGTAACTAAAAAGTGGTAGCACACAGTGGATTAACCAACAGACCACTAACTGTAAGGTGAGCAGCTCAACCCACCAGCTGCTCCATAGGAGAAAGATGAGGCAGTCTGCTTCCATGATTTAGTCTCAGAAATCCTAGGGAACAGTTCGACTGTCCTAAGCAGTTATGATGAGTCAGAATCAATGTGACAGGAGTAGGTTGGCAGCCTGAGAAAAGTCTGACTGAGGAGGGCTTGGGAAGATGCTCGAAGGAGGTGCTGGACTGGAGTGAGACTGGTAGAACTGGGGGTCACATTCAAGTCAACTGACTCCTAACTCAGTGCTCTTTCCACCTAATTCTCACCATGGAATCAAAGCCACAGCACAATGCAAGGGGCATGAAGCACCCGTCAATCGTAGGGTGGACACTGTATTCTTGGCTCCAAGCTACACAGATGCTGGGGGGCGGGCGCGCTTAAGCCAAGGTCATCTTGCTGTAGAAGCAAAATGCCAAGGGCCTTCCTACCCCGCTGTTTATTGGTGGTTCACACCCCACTCTCACCTTCCACTTACTCCTTCCCCACCTGCTCCCCAGAGAAGGGCTCTAGACTACCGCAGCTCTCACTGGTGTTCCCTTGGTCTCCTGGCTCCATGTCCCTTAGTAGAGTCAGAGCCAGTTCCTGTTCAAAGAGCCCTCAACAGACTGTAAGTACCAGTGGTAAAATCCAGGAAGGTTTCACTAAGGAATCCTGACAATTGCCCAGAGAGCACAGGCAAGGGAAGGGTGGGCATATACAAGAGGGCACAGGGTCATGAACAGCGAAACGCTAATCAGGCCAAGCTCTGGTGGGAACTGGGAGGCAGGAAAATAATTGCTCATTGGCACATCCTAGCTATGGTACCAGAAAGCACAACCACACAACACTGCCACCACCAGAGTTGTACTGGACAGAGGTGCAGAGCGCTCTCTGCTTCCCTGACGAGTGATGTCTCAGAGGCCACTCACTGGATGGCCAAAAAGGACAATTCTTCCAGGCCACAACCCCAGCATAGCCCTCTTAGAGCCCAATTAAATCTGAAGACACACTTTTAACAAAAACATTCCTGTATCCTGGAGCTGCAACAGCGCAACCCTGGTCACAGCTCCCAATTATCCAAACCTTACACACCAACCTGAGAGGCTCTGTGAAGCAGTTTATTACAAATGTAATTAATGTCCTGAATCACCCTGTTCAAAGACCTTAAAAGCTAGACCTCAGCATCATCCCCCAAAAGAAATCCCATCCATGGACAGCAGCTTCAAGCTCTGCCTAAGATCTTCCTTTTTTGAAAGTGAGCCTTACACACACCAGCCCCCATTCCCCAAGTTAATTCTTTGAAATAAACCTCTTTAAAATACAAGGCTCCTACTGGCTCTGTTTTTTTCTGTTTGAAGCCAGATACACATATTTTAAAGACAAGACCAAAAAATAGTTGTCAAAACCCAAGGCTTAGGACCAGACAAATGCTGGAGGAAATCTCCCAGGAGCATTCAATCCTCCCCATTGGATTTGCTTTGGCCTTTGCTGCAAACACATCCACAAATGTAGTATAACACACAAGGGGTAAAGTTATGAAAATGCCATGTTAAGTGCTGTCAAGTTGGTTCCAACCCAGAGACCCTGTATAGGGTTTCCGAAGAGCAGATGGTGGGTTTGAACCGCTAACCTTACGATTCAGCACATTATCCTGCAGGGCCACACCAGGAATCCATAGATATTATCAAGGAATTAAGGAATGAGTTGTTGGGCCTGGGGCTCAGGGCCATTGTCTTCAGGGACACCATGATCAACTGGCATTAATAGCCCACAATAACAATGTTTCTACACCCTACCATTTGGTGAGTAACTATCGGAGTTGTTAAGAGTAAGAAGCTCATGAGTGGCTACCTAAGGTGCAACTATTGGTTACTCCCAGTCCAGAGGAAAAGTAGAGTGATGAAAATTCAAGTCACTTGTAAACAACTAGTCCAATGAACCACCAGTTTCCATGACCCTGAGACCAGAAGAACTAGATGAAAACAGTATCTGGTTACCACTACCCACAGCTCTATTAGGGATTACTTTTCAAGGTCCTGATAGAATGGAAAAAATAAGGAACAGAACACCAAATCATTGCCAGCCCTCCATGGCTGAACTCTCAGCCAAGTACTCCTGCAACTGGACCACTTCCTCACTTCCCCTCTTCCCTCCCACCCTTAAATGTACCTTGTAGAACTTCCTGAGGTTCTCCTTCTGAGTCTGGTTGATGACAGTTAGAACCCGGGCAATGGATTTGCGGACAACTCGGCTACAAAACAGAGATGTCAGTGAAGATGGGGAAGACACACAGCACTTCCCAAGGCAGCTCATTCAGTGTCTACCCACAGGTTCACCAGGAGGCAACAGACACAGCTGAGAAAGGAGGCTTCCTGGAGACGATGCTTGAACAAATTGTAGAGGGATACGTATGGAGTGAAAGCAGAAAATGAAGGGGATGGAGAGCCCAGTGCTGTGACATTAATTAGGTGGAAGCAGAAGGGGCTTAAGGGAGAACTACTGCAAGCTGAAGAGGTGGAGACAGACCACATAATCTAAGGAGGGTCACAAAGCAGACTTAACCAGAGGTCTGGTCACAGCAGCATACTACAAAATCCAGGCAGCCATAAGCTAAAGTACAAATGCTATTGGGGTGGAATTAGTTGGATGATGGGGCCCAAACTAGGAGCAGGCTGGGGAGAGTTAAAGCTGCAGTCATGCCGATCATGAGGTGTCCGATAAACAAGGTATGAAAGGATTCAGCATGCAATTTTCCTACATATTACCCAACTCATTCCATTCCCCCATTCCCTGGGCTTTAAATTTAAAGCATGTTGTGGCAGTACTAGGATTTATATGTATATCTGCTAGTTCAAAACCTATGTTCTTTCCACAAGTCTCCACGCATATCAAAACAGCTACACTACAATTTAAATAAAGGGGGGGGGGCGGCAAAACATCCATCTACCAAGGGTTCAGTCAGGCTTTTGTAAACATTTAAAATGAGTTTTCAGGGACACTCAGTTCTTTCTCCTGGAAGGTGCTGAAACACTACAGGCAAAATGCCGTACAGTCAAGTCCAGTGAGAGGAAAAGCACAATGGGGCCCCATGTGTTAGGTGTGGGGAAGGTGCGCAGGGTAATGAAGGGCACTTTAGTATTAACAACCTTAAGACTTCAAAAAAAGCCACAATCGCTCCACCGCAAGGCACACCTGTCTCCCAACCCAAGAGTAGATAACTTACATTTTAGAGAGCTTGGACGCCGCACCGCCAGTGACTTTGGCGACGCGCAGCTGGGACAACTCCACCTTCAGGTCGTCCAGCTGTTTTAGCAGCTCCTCTTTCTTCTTGCCGCGAAGGTCCCGTGCCTTGATCTTGGCCTGCGCGAGAGTGGTCAGAGTCAGACACTTTGAGGCATCATTTCTCCCTCTGCCACTCTCCAAGGCCACCGGGGGGCCATCCCTCCGCCTCCGGCGACAGCCGCCGTAAGGCGCGTGCCAGTCCGCGGCCACGAGCACGCCAGGGCTCGACCAGAGCTCAGCGTACTAAAGCAAGGCCGTGCCTCTGACAAAATAGCCGAGGTTCCGGCGGGTGCGTCCTGGCCTAAGCCGGCTAAGAAGCCTGCCCGCTACTCTCATTCCGTTACCTGGAAGACTTGAGAACCCGAGTGAAACGCGCTTGTGCGGGCGTCTTTCCCGCAGGGACAGAAAGCCGGAGGCCGGCTGTAAAGGTGCTAGGCCGCTCCGCACGGCGCCTCCACTGACTCGATCAGGAGAAAGGACCGTGGGATTCACCCCGCACCCGTTAGTCTAGTCTCAAAACCCTATAACACGCGGATGACAACCGATGTAACTATGCTCACCATGGCTGAGCGAAAAAACCGCGCCGCCACCGGATCCGAGGCCGAGGGAAAGAGGAGGGAGGTGGGGCTGACCTCCGCAACTACTGCCGGGTGACGGCAGGTTCGGCCAATGGAGCCGCGGCAGGGAAGCCGTGGCTCCGCCTCTCCATCACCAGCCTCTGAGAGCCGTAGTATGGTCCGCCCCACCCCGCGGAGCCAGAGCTCCGCCCCCTAGCACTTTACTCTCCTCACCACCTCAAATTGTCACTGTAGGGTATACTGGTCTGCATCAGTTGGGGTAATCGAGGCTTAAGGCGTGCCGAAGATGACATAACCACCCTCTGCCATCCAATCGACTCCTACTCATATCGACCTCCCATAGGTCACAGTAGAACGGAACCTTTGGGTTTCCGAGACTGTAAATCTACGGAATAAGACTGCTTCGTTCTTTTCCCGGTCACAGAGTTTGAACAGCCTACTTTGCGGTCACTAGTCCAACACAACTCTCAGCGCCAACCAGGACTCCTCCAAGGTGGCATAACAGGATTCGAATTCGTCTATTTAGTAATTCAGTTGATGAAGGTCACTCGGTTTGTGCCACTTTGAGCTAGATACCCGGGACTCAGAGCGGGGGTGGGTTAAGACTGCGGCGGATAAGACGAGTTGTTGTTAGGTGCCATCGAGTCGGTACAAAACACTGCCTGGTCCTGGGCCAACCTCACAATTGTTGCCACGTTTGAGTCCATCGATGCTGCCACGTGGTCAATCCATCTCGCTGCAGATCTTCTTTTTCTCTGACTACTCCAGCTTACCAAACATGGTATCTTTCGCCAGCGACTGGTCGGTCCCTCTTGACAATATGTGTGAAGTATGAGAGACGAAGTTTGGCCATCCTGGCCTCCAAGGAGCATTCTGGCTGCACTTCTTCCAACACAGATCTGTTGGTTCTTTTGGCAGCCCATGGCACTTTCAATATTCTCCCCCAACACCATAACACAAAAGCATCAATTTGTCTATGGTCTTCCTTATTCACTGTCCAGCTTCCGCATGCATATGAGGTTATTGAGAATACCATGGCTTGGGTCAGGTGACACTGCTGGTATTTAAAATACCCATGGCATAACTTCCAGAATCACAGTAACTCACAAACCACCACAGTATGACAAACTAACAGATGAGTGGTGGGTAAGAAGAGTTAAGGGTGTTCAAAGATGAATGAATGCTGTCGTGGAGGAACTTAATGCTAGAGATGGGCAAGGACTGGCAGGGGCAGGCAGCTATTGTACTACCCATCTTCAGAAATGTTCTAATGTAACGGAGGCAGCGTGTTTTGGTAGAATACCCTTTTGTTTAGTGAGACCCACCTGGTTTCAAATTCTTGCTCTGTTGACAAGTTCTAGCTGAGACCCTTGGCAATCCCCTTGGCTTCTCTGAGCCTGTTTTCTCAGCACTGAAGTAGGGTGTTTATGAAGAGTATGCTGCTGTTACTTACCATTCAGTAGATTCCCATTCATGGTGACCCCATATGTGCTGAGTAGAACTGCTTGGAAGGCTGTGACCTTTTGGAAATAGATTGCTAGGCCTGTCTGCTTAAGTGCTTCCGTGTGGATTTGAACCTCCAACCTTTATGGCTAGTAGTCAAGGGTGTTAACTATTTCCCCACCCAGGGAGTCTTATAAAGATTAGCATGAGACTTGGTGAATAATGATCACTCAGGAAAATTATCTGTATTAATATTCCTGTTGTTGAGTGCCATCTAGTCGCTTCTAACACATTGATCCTGTAAAGGGTTTCCAAGGAGTGACTGGTGGGCAACCAGGGGAGCTAAAGTCATCATAGGAAGGAAAAACATGACATTGGGAATTAGAAATGCTACTGAATTGGGATTAGTTGAACCACCAGTGTTTATCCTACAGCACCACACTAAGACTCAATTAATGTTCCCAGTGAAATGAAAAGCCTTGAATTGAGCCCTGAAAGTTAAAGTTGAATTCACAAATTGAGGAAGGTGCTCAGCCAGCAATTATGAATCAGTATTTCAGTGCCACTCCAGTACCATTAAAAAAGACACACATACACCTCTCAGAGATCTGGTTGAAGTTTGCCTGGAAGTTCCTTGGGGACAGAACAATGGCCAACACCTGATTTAATTTTATTAATCCCTAGGCCCAGCATATGGATGTTGCTGAATGAATAAACCTTGTCTCAGACCAGTGAGGCAAGCTTACAGAAGCTAGAGGAATAGGAGAAAATAAAGGGCAGGCAGAGAGTAATCATGGCATGCATTAGTTTTAAATGAAGTCTAATGATGCTTAGGGGTTTTCCTGTCATTTGTTCCAAAAACTTCTATTGCTACTAGAGCTACTGTATACATTCCTTCTGAACTTGAAGTCCTCTAAGACTTCCTGGGTCTTTTACACTCTTATATGCCACACCCAATCCATCAGAAAATCTTTCCAGTTCTACCTTCAAAATACATTCCATCTTTTATCAATCCCAGTGGCACCCTCTTGGTCTGAGCTACTATTGCCTATCACCTGGATCATTGGAATTATCTCCTAAATCACTTCCTGCTTCAGCCCTTACTCTAAGATGTGTTCTCTACTACGTCCCTATTTCGTTCTGCTGTGCATAACGTCACTATGAGTTGGTATCAACTTGATGGCACCTAACAACAATTAGGCATAAAGGGAACCAATCCCAGAAAATGGCATGGGGGTGGAGGAGTACCTTACTATCATCAAGAAGAGTTGGGAATGAAGTGTGTCCTTTGAGCCCAGTATCCTCATGCTGAGTACCTCCTAGATCCATGAGACAGAAGTTTAACACAAGATGGTGAAAATTGGTGAGAAGTGGTGGCAAGCCCAGCAGAATCCAGTACAGAGAAACAGGAGCAGGAAAACCAGGAGAGTGGCATGAGATGGCTCTGTGGGCTCCCTAGATCACTGAGTAAAAGTAGCTACAGTGGGTGCCAACCCATAGTGGGAGAAACCTGAAGGCCTTCAGGTAGGTGCTTGCAGGTGGAATGGGGTGCCTCAGGGAACATAATTAGCAGAGATAAAGAGACTTGTACCACTTGCCTGAGTAGGACAGGGCCCAGGCCAAGAATAAGGAAATGGCAGCAGCAGCTGAGAAGAAACTCAGCTTTGTCCTAATCAATTATCTGTATCCTGAGTTGTTACTGTTTCTTCCAAGTTGATCCTGATCCTGATTGTAACCCGTGACTTCTCTTATAAATCCTATAATCATTAATGTGTGTGTGGCCACTGCAATGAATTATGGAACCCAGTGGAGAAGTAAAGAGTGCTAGAGGAGGGACAGCTGGTGTCAGAATTAGTAAAAAGCTTGGAAAGTGGAGGTTATGTCTGACCTTCACTTCATAGGTCAAGTTAGATAAGGTCTGATGATGCCTTGTCATTTTTATACCACAAGGTAACACTCCCAGACACTGTGATTTTCTTTTACAACTCCTAAGCATTCCTGACATAATATGAAAAATTTCATTCTGTGTCCCTGATTGGAGTGCAAGTCCATGACTATGAGCAAGAACATTATTTTGTTTACTAGTTTATTTGGGAGCTGTTTCCTGAATTGTAAAATGGGGGTTTCTGGTTTAGTCCTTTTTGACCAGGATATGCTGGGTGTATGAATCTCTGTTGACAGGTGGTCTGCATAGCTCACAAAGATTTCTTCCTAGCTGTAGAGCTGAAATGCAGGAGGGCTTTACTGGCTTCCGGAACTGTCCAGTACTTTTATGCACCCACTTATCTCTGTGGGAGTCTGTATCTTTAGCACCCAAGATTAGGTGGCATCATGGATATGTTTTTGATCTGTAGACACAGTTCAATGACAAGTATTCAGAGCAATAAAACGAGTCATATTTCGTTAACTACTGTCCTTTATTGAAAAACAAGGACCCAATTTCAGGTCAACAGACGTCTCAGGCCCAGGTACCTACGACGCAGCTTCAAAATGTTCGTGGAAAATGAAATGAAAACACCATGGAACTTCCTTAAGTCCCAGATATTCTTGGCACCCTGGAGTCTTCCTTGACTCTGCCCTTCATCTTGGATTCTGGGGATTCTGTTTTCTACACGAACACGCTTCTCCAGTGAGTCCCCTACTCACCATCAGGTCAAGGTAACTGCCCACGGGCGGAGTCACCCCTTCAAATCGGAACTTTAGTGTTTTGTCAGAACCCCTGAATAAGCTTTAAGCGTTTTTAAAGTCTCCCTCTTTAACAATGGGGTCACTTCTGTGTACAGGGCACAGGTAGGCTTCTCAGGCCCTTAAGAGCGGAGACCTACTTCCCCTCAGGGCTTACCTCAAAGGTGGGTTCCTTTTTTTTTTCTTAGAAGCCCCTGGCACTCAAGAGGCAGAGCTAGGTCCCTTTTCCTGACGATCCTGTCCCGTCAGTCTTGGAAATGATCGTCCTCGGAGTCAGCGGCTCCTCTTTGGGCCAGGGCTTCTCCGGGAGAGGAGAGAATGAGCGCCATTAGGACGTACAAGAGGACTAGGTAGGACCAAGCTCCAACACCCCTGATTCTAAGACTTGAGGTTCCGAGAAGACCCCAAGCAGGCGGAAGAGGGCCCACGAACACTTCGGGCTCTAGCCCCACCAGTCTTCCGGTTCCGGCTAAGTCCGGAAGTGGGCGGGCAGCCGGCGGCTGCGCGCGGAGGAGGTGGAGGTGGTGCAGGACTGCCGCTTCCCGCCCCCGAGCCGGAGCCGGAGCCGGAGTCGAAGTCGGAGGCTGAACAGAGCGGAGCCACTGTCTGGGCTAGAACGGAGCCGGCCGAGCGGGCGTCGAGCCCCCCGCCATGGCCCGGAACACGCTGTCCTCGCGCTTCCGCCGAGTGGACATCGACGAGTTTGACGAGAACAAATTTGTGGACGAACAGGAGGAGGCGGCAGCGGCGGCGGTGGAGCCAGGCCCGGATCCGAGCGAGGTGGACGGGCTCCTGCGGCAATATCCTTCCCCGGCGCGGTGGCCCAGGGGTCCTTCGATATGAGCTCCCCTTTGATCTGACTTTTCCAGTAACCTATCCTCGGCTCTGGTCCCTAGGTTGTCTCCCAAGCCCCAGGATCCTGGTTTCCTGTGGTCGTTCTCCCAGTAGTGTTCTGATTCGGCGACCCTGAGCTGGCTCCCTTCAGTCCAGCTCTCCCCATTTACCTCTGCCCTAGCCCAGCTACCCTTAGATCTGGCCTCCCGATTCCCTTATGCTGACCCAGCCCCTAGACCCTTCGTTGACCTCACTCAGCAGCCCCAGAAGCCTGCCGGAACTTCTTCCGGCCCTGTTGCACCCTTCCTGGCCCCGAAGACACCCGACCCCTAAGCATGGTTTCTCTTCTTTAATCCCTTTTGCTTTCTTAAGCCCCTCAGGAAGCCGTTCCTTGAGCGCCCCATCTCTCCATCCCTCTCTCACCGGAAATGGGGCCATTCCCGGGCTTGGTCTGAGGGAGGGGCTGAGGTGAGCCACCGCTTAGTAATTGAGTATCCAGGGCGCCCCGGGACCTGCCCTCCTGGCACAGCACGAAAATAGCTGGGTGGGTGGCTGCGGGGAAGGAAGGACCTCTGGGGTGGAGGGGCAGCAGCAGTCTGAGTCCTGACTTGAGGTCTGAGCTTGTGCCTCCCCCCCCCCCCAGTCATTCTGACCCTCAGTTTAATGCCACCCTCTCAGACCTATTCTTGTGAACACCTTGACCTTGTCCCCCTCCATGCTCGTGAGTTTGGGCTTCCCAAGTAGCCTTCGGGACAGGCTGTGCAGGAAGCAGAGGCAGAAACTAGTATTTTCGAGCTAGACAGCGCCAAGTCAAGTGGAAAAGTAGAGCCCACAAACGGGAAATCGCTGTTCTTGTGGCCGTAGGCAAGCATTTAGACAAGATTAAAAATAGAGGTGGTTGTCACAGCCTGCTTGGTCCCTAGCAGTTGAAGCACAGGAAACTGATTTAGTATCCCAGAAAGAATCTTCTTATTCCTGTGGTGTTACAGGAAGTACACTCCCCTCCCCGAAACGTGCCAGAGCAGGGTTGAAGGTTCTGCTGTATATAAATCAGGTTCTTGGTGTTTAATCAGTTGACTCAACTTGGGAAGTTGGGCCTTATACCGTGTCTTTTAGGAGGAGTCCCGTAGTGTTTCTTCATCGTGCCTGTGAAAACCTTCAGACTTTGTTTGAACAAGAATGTGTTTTCAAAGGTAGAGATTGAAACTTGTCTTTCCTGCCCCATCAGTATCACCTTGCAAACCCCGCTGGTGAAATGGGGTCATGGGAAGGACACCCAGGCGAGAAGGTTGACTCTGGCCTGGTGCAGGACCCTGGTTCCTGGGCTCCAGGATCAGGTTTGAGGTGGTGTACTCAGGCCCTATCGGCTACTACCTTGGTTTTGTTGCTGCAGGTGCTTGTTGAAGGTTGTCTTTTAGTCTGTCTCTGATTAGTGGTAGGTTCCTTTCTTAAAACAGCTTGGAGCCTTAGGCTTATAGCACATGGGGGATGGGTAGGGAGTTGGGGGTGGTGGTGGAAGGTTTTCACTAATGGGAGTGTCAGAAACCTTGTTACCATGGAGAGTGTACTTTTCAGGGATTGGGGATGGGGAGGTGAACAGATAGGAAGAACTGAAATCCTGGCAAATGGAGGGCCCAGGGAGGGAGGTGAAAGGAATTTAGATTTATGAAATCCCTATAATGTGCTAGCTATTGGACTTGTATTGGATTATTGATTTTAACAATAGAAATTACTTAGGACAATGGAGGGAGGAACAGGGAGAAAGGTTGTTTGATTGGGGTGGGGGAATGTGGGAGGGCACGTATGGTTAGGGCTGTGTCAGAAAATGGATCCTGGTGGGAGGTCACACAGCTGAAGTAGAAAGAACATAGCTGTGCATCCACGTAGACCCAGAGGATATGTGACCCTTGGGCAGGTCATATACCTTTCTTTGGCTTGTTAAATGTTGAACCCACAGGTTCTGTGGGAGCATACAGGACAACACCCCAAAAGGGTGCAGCACAGTGCTGGATCCAAGGAATAGCCCAGACCTGCAGTTTGGGTCTGCCGGGGATTTTACACCTTGGTTTTGGAAGCAGGTAACTTGCATTTGAAGGGCAGCTGGACTGTTTAGCTTTGTGATATTGGACAGGTCATTTCCCTTCCTCTGAGTCTCACTTTTACTGTCTTTAAAATGGGAATCAATATCCCCATTACAAAAGGTGATTGACAGTAATGAGATGACTCTGGAAAGCACCTGCCACAGGAGCTGAGGCCTTATAGTTGTTTTTAAATAGTTCCTTTTCCTCCTCACAAAGGCAGGGATCTGTCTAGAATAGTGGTTTGGAGTGATTTTGAACTTCCCCCACCTCTGGTGGTATTAGGCCATGTTTGGAGACATTTTGATTGTTACTTGGAGTTATTATTGGAATCTAGTGGACAGAGGCCACTAAACCAGCAATGCACAGGATGTTGCTGCTGTTAAGTGCGGTCAAGTCGGTTCAGACTTATAGCAAGCCTGTATAGGGTTCTGAGGAACGGCTGGTGAGCTTGAACAACCAACGCTGTGGTTCAAACTGACCTTGCAGTCCAGCGCGTTAACCCACAGCGCCACACCAGAACTCCAAAAGCATAGGCTAGACTCCACAATAAAGAATGTTTGGGTATAAAATGCCCATAGTGCTGTTGTTGAGACACCCTGGTCTAGAGGAGCTCAGGGACTGGGCAAGGTTCCCGCCGCCTTCACAGCTTGTTCTCTGAAAAGGCCTAATGGAGAGAGGCCAGTGTAGTAAACGATGTGTGATTGCAGGCATGCCCTCTTTGCTCCCCTCAAAGCCTGTAGTGTGAATGCTTAGCAGATCAGCGATGAGAAGTCTAAAGCAGTGCCTTTTTCCTTGCTCCCACGGAATGACTTCACTTGCCAATCATGCTGGGTTCAAGTGAAGAGTATGTAGACTTACAGAGTACCAGTCACATTTCCTGTCAAGCCTCTGGTATCCCACTTATTGTTTTAAACCAGGTGTGGTCAAGTCAACGACCCTGTGTATATCAGAGTAGAATTGTTCTGTGAAGTTTTATTGGCTGTAATCCTTTTGTAAGCAAATTGCCAGGCCTTTCTTCTGTGTGGTGCCACTGGGTGGGTTTAAACAGCCATTTGTGTTACCCAGGCTCCTTGGCACCATCCAAGGACCCCAGATTCCAAGGGCTATGAAAATAGAGAATTTCAGTTTGGCCGGAGAAAAGGAATTTCAAAACTGAAAGATAAAGGGGTAGGCTGCCTCTTAAATATGAAAGGTGAATCAGAGGCAAGCTGGGGGCTGGAAGACCTGGACTAGGCTAGGGGTTGTTATCTGGTGCCAGGGGCCCAGCTCAGTCAAGATGGAGCCACACCAGGGAAGATGAGAGTCCACTTTTTTTGGTCTGGTCACATGTGGGTATGGCTGCATGAACAAGAGGAGAGACCTGATTGGGCAGGAGCTATTCCTTGTTCTATTTTTGAAGGTTTTTGGCTGAAGTCAGTGTTTCAGATGAGGAAATGAAAGTCAGCTGATGTAATTCAGTTTAAAATAGGTGCCACCTTTGGGGACCTAACCCAGATTTGCAGTTTTCTCTCGAGTGCTGGGTATTCGGAACTCAGCAGAGAGTGGTGGCAGGATTGCAACTGAAGCCTAGCGGAGGGGTTGACTTTTGTCTTATTGACAAAAGGTTCTTTTAGATAATAAATCTCCTTCTGGTAGCAGTTAGGACCTCACTAACATGGGAAGGTCTTGCAAAGGTCACTCAGTTGCTGTCTAGTTGATTCTGATGCCTGGCAACCGTGTGTGTGTGTCAGAAAAGAACGGTGTGCTCCCTAGGGTTTTCTATGGCTTTTCAGAAGTAGATCACCAGTCCTTTCATCTGCAGCATCACTGAGTGGACTTAAACTTTCAACCTCCCAAAACTTTCAACCTCCCAATTCGCTGCTGAGCATATTATTTGTACCACCCTGAGACTCCTAGGTCTTGGAAGATGAGGACATACAGTTTAGCATATCTTCATTTCTCTAGTAGCTTTACTGATAAAAAGCAGATTGAAAAGTTAAAAACCTACTATCTTTGAGTTGATTTCCATTCAAGACTATTAGTCTTTATGGGAGCAGATGGCCTCATCATTCTCCCTCGAAGTAGCTGGTGGGTTTGAACTATTGATCTGTAGTAAGCAAGCAGTTCAGTACTTATCCTACAGCAGTTCCATAGTTCATTTGTGTTTTCGTTTACAGAATGAATGAGAATGATAACCTCCAGTTCATACACATGGTGATTGTGAGGATTCATGTGGCTAGCCCTGTCTAGGTGTAACCAAGCTAAGTTAGATTTTTTGCAAGCTACACTCCAAGGGCAGTTGCTTTGATGAAACCTTCTCTAGTGAGTGCTTGAACCTTGTTTTGAGGGTAAAGGCTAAGAGAAGGACAGAAAAGCATTTGCCCTCCACCCTTCCTGTGGCTCTGGAAAGCTACCTGCCAGCTTCTACAGAAGCCCTGCCTACCTGGAAACCAAGGCATAAGTGTGGGGAATTGGAAGATCCCATTTGACTCTGCTCTCATGAGCTGCTTTTAAAACAAGTTCATTAATGAAAGCATAAACATTGAGCCTGACTGCCCTTAACTAGTGGCGAGGCACAGGGGACATGCTTCGAGCCTTTCATGCAGCCTTGCGGAACTCTCCTGTCAACACCAAGAACCAAGCTGTGAAGGTAAAGGGGTTGTGGGTGTTCAGCTCCGGGGGTGGGGGTGGGGAGGGCCCTCTGGGCAGGGTCTGTTTCTTCTCTGCATCAGTGAGTAGCTGCCAAGAGAGTGAATTGGCACTAGGCAGTGCTTCCACGGAAGCCTCCTGGTGCTCACAGACACTGAGGCTCCTCTGACATCAAAGCTGTCAGTGTTTAGAGTAAAAGCTCCCCAAAGAAATGCTCACTCCTCCCCAGGGCCTCATGGAGTGAGAAGTCAGACCAGCCCTTGCTGATTAGCAAAACAGATAAATTAGCCTGCAGAGTGGGACTTAGCCCTGGTTAGGCTTTTATAGACTATTGAATAGGCTTTATCTGCAAGAAGTTTTTTGTTTTTTTTTTAACATTGCTTTAGGTGAAAGTTTACATAATTTTCCCAGTAGTTCATACATGAACGATTCTATCTGCATAAGGATTTTAATTGCTTTTAAAAATCTCCCACATTATAAAAATGAGGTGAGAAGGTAAGTTGTTCTTACTGTACCCCTTAGGCTAGGATTTGGTTTAGGGAAAGAGCTCCCTAAATCTGGGATTTTGTTATTTTGTGCCACATTCCAATGTATCCAGTGGAGGGAACAGTCCTCCGTGACTGATAGAAGCCTCAGCCAAGTAAACATATTTAAAACAAAAAAACTGATCTTTACATTTGTGAGTCTAAGGCCTTGCTGCTGTCATCAAAAATAGTAATACTTCTCCCTGGTAAGCCATCTATCCCCCTCCCAAAAAAAGTGGCATCATTTACAGGCACAGTTAAGGGGTACTTTGAAATTAAATCAAAATTTCAGCCCATGCTTCTGATGAGTTTTGACCATCTGATCTGGTGGTGTTGTGCCATGTGGTTGTGCCCCTGGGTCTTACTCCCTTCTCTTTCCTCTGTAGGAACGAGCCCAGGGCGTGGTGCTGAAAGTGCTCACAAATTTTAAGAGCAGCGAAATTGAGCAAGCGGTGCAATCCCTGGACAGCAATGGCATTGACTTGTTAATGAAGTACATTTATAAAGGGTTTGAGAAGCCCACAGAGAACAGCAGCGCAGTGTTACTCCAATGGCATGAAAAGGTATGTGGACACTTAGCCCAGGCTTCATACCAATAGGTCAGATTTTCCCAAACAGGACAATCTTATAGGCATGTGATAGTCAGGGGACAAGCCTGTAACCACCTGTGACATCTAATCACTCCCCCAAGGAAGCACCTAGTAAGGATCTGGTCTCCAGTAATTGCAGTTGCTTCTGCTTATTAGCTGCTAATATATGCCGGGCAGGATAGGGTGCCCTTGATACAGACATGGGGGCATCTAGCCTGGCATGATAGGGGAGAAGGGGGTGGGGAGTGTCAAGATAGGAGTGGGGCTTTGCTCTGGTGTAAACCGCTACTTTGGCTGGCCTTAGGGGAACACTGAGCCTTTCAGCCCCTCCTAAGAACTTCTTGCTACAGGAGGGCAGCACTGGGCAGAAACCTTGAGAGGTACGTTATCTACCTGATGCAAAAACCGTCATGTCTAGCCTTTGCTTGGGTCAGGTATAGGAACAAGGCCTTTTGGAGTCTGTATCCTTCCTGTGTGCCAGTATGGCCTACCCCTCCCCTCCTCTCCCGACTCCTTGTTCTGCAAGCCTATAGTAGGCATGCCTACCTTTAAAATGGGGCAAAGGGAAGGCCAGGATAGCACTCGAATCCTTTCTAAAAGGCTCAGTGCTGAATTTCAGAGGTGGCTCTCTTACTGATGAGTCCGTTCAGGCAGCCTAGGTAGTGGGCCGTGGTGGTAGTAGCCCCTTAGAGAAGCTCCTGGCCTTAGCAGGTGAGCAGCCTGTGGACACCAGGCCCTTTCATGCCTTTCAAGAAACCTGGGGCCCAGTCCTGTGTGGCATGCTGATTGAGGGCACCAGGAGGCAGCTTTCACATGGACAAGTGTGCCTGTAAGTGCCCAGGGCAGTGCTGGCAGGCTGGGCACAGTGTGGTTTTCAAAAGACAAAACTTGGAAGTGCTCTGTGTCCCGTTGGTAACAATATTCTCAAGTAAGTTTTGCCTCTAGAGCTTGCCTAGAATGTGATCTCTAACTGCCTCCTGACTGTTGTTACAGAGTCTGTGCACTGGCATCTAGGTCAGGCAGTGCAGTCCCATTTCCCTGGCCAGCCAGGTCTCACTTAACACATTGTCTTTTCCTGCCCCCACAGGCATTAGCAGTAGGAGGACTAGGCTCCATTATAAGAGTTCTTACAGCAAGAAAGACTGTTTAAAAAAAAAAAAAGAGACTCCTGTTACCTTGAGAAGAATTTTGGATGCACAGGCTGGTGAAGAAGGGATTGACACTGGACCATCTTCTTAGGAACTCCCAACTCAACTACTCAGGACCCGTGTCCTCTGAAATGGATTTCATTTTCAAGGTGGAGGGAGAAACTGTCTTACTGTTTGCTAAATCCTTTGCAGGATCTGATAGTCTGCCTTTGTCTACAAGTCATGCAGCACTGACATTTCTGAACTGTCTACTGGAGCGGCTGGCTTGGTCAGGTGCACCTGTGCACACTGCCTATTTCCAAAGGGGGGTGGTCTGGCAGGTGAAGATGTAAGGGCTGCTGTAGTAAAAGGGAGAGCTTGGTTTTGTGATGTGGGAAAAACCCGAGGGTTTGTACAGACTTCCCGTCCTCCCAGAGAAGGCGGCTCTTGGGCTCATTGTAAAGTGCCTGCTGCATCAATAAAAGCTCTTGGCTTCTTAGTATCTACATTGCGGTGTGTTTCATGTCTGTTAAAAATGCTCATGAATGGTGAACAGGTGTGAGCGGTCAACTGTGTAGGGAAATGAGGTAGGAGGAGTTAGACTGCTTGTGTGTTCTGTTTAGCCCTCCCTGGGGAGTGAGCATGGCAATCCACAGCCCATTTTGTAGCCTTGGCTACCGTGCTACTGGCTGCTACAGAGAGGCATTTTGCTGGGTAACTATTTATTGTTTTTCTTACTCCTTTGATTTGTATGTAATTTTGGAGCGCATTTAATTTAATAAAGTGCCAAACATTTAATAACTGATTCAGGCTTTAAAAGTCTTCAGTTTTGTGTGACTGTACTTGGGAGTCTGATGGGTGGGCCTTGAGTAGGCCAGGTCACTATCTCACTATCTCCTGACATTGATTCTAGGGTCATGGATTCTGCTTTGCTGCAGGAATACTCTTACCACTACAATGACAAGCTTTCTTTAAAGAATACAGCCAGAAGCATATAGCAAGCACACTATACATATAAATGTAAAATATTCCTTGCAACTACTAACATGACAGCACATAGAACTGCTGCTTGTAGTCGTGGATCCTCCATTTGTATCTTGAGGCTCTTCCCAGATGTGGGCCTGGAATAAAGGCTTACTCCTGAGGGGCACAATCCCCCTCCTTCGTGCTGCTTCTCTGTAGAACCATCACAGTTTGTGGGAGTAGGGACTGGGCTGTGGGCTTCATTCAGTTACATCTCAGGATATTCTTTCTGAAAGAAAAACATTCTACAGTCCTGAAGGTTTATTATGTATAAGACAGAATGTACTCAATCTAACAAGTAAAAAAGTAATGGCATACCCAACTATTTAAAAAAAAATCTCCATAGTTGCATCTGGATTGAAGAGCTTTAATTAATCAAAAAGTGTATTGCACCACAAATGAATTTTCTACAGCAGTTGTACATAATGCAATCCCTATTTACAATACTGAGAGATCAAGATCCAATGTTCATAGAAAGGGCTATATATATTATCACAGAAAGTTTTATACAAGTAAAAGTGCATGAAATCACTTAGATTTACTCCACTCTTCCTCTTAAAGCTGAAGAAAGCTCAACATGCAGGAGGAAAGCCTAATTGGAGTGAACGTTCCCTAAGCAAGTACAGACTCGGCGATGGGCCCCACAAGCACACCTGAAACTGCCTGAGAGCTGGCAGGGAAGAGGCTGGAGAAGGCATGAAGGAGTTGGACCTGCTTTCCACAGGAGTGTTGTAGCTGTTTCTGGCAAACCTTGACCCACCCAAACCTCTTGGGGATTTTGTCCTGGAACAGATGGAAAGGAGGAAATCCTTTTTAAAAGCCACCTCTTGTCAAAATTACAAAACAGAAAGGACTCCTATGTCATATGCCCACCAGGTGGATGGAAAATAGCTTTGTAAACAAGGGGCAGACGCAACTACATGAGGACATAGGTAATAGAGAATGGTCACTTGGATAGGAATAAGGTGATGTTCAGCTTCATGGAAATTTAGGAGGCTAACTGCAAATCTTTGCTTTTCTGTGAGATATATATATAATGGTTTTTAACCTTAAGCATAATTGAGAAACAACTTTAGATGATTGGATAAATGATAATTTAGGAGCTTCAGTTACTAAATTCAGTTTTCTACTTAACCAGTGAAATTTTCTTCCAACAATGAATTGGAAAATGATCTGCCTTTAGATTCAACATTCTGGCTTATCCAGGACAAGCATGTTCCTTTTTCTGTAATAGTAATGAATACAAGTTTTTGAGAAGTCACTACCAGAAGCCAGCTGCAGGCTGCCAAGTACTGCAGCCACCTAGAGGTTGTCTGGACTCCATGTGTGAATACTGGGTGAGATGGGGAGAGAGATGGTGGCTCTACATACAAGGCCTACTGCTTCCAATGTTTTGGACAAGGTTGGAGGAGGGTCAGCTGCTGCTTTCTCTGAATATCCCAGACTGTCTTTGACAGTAAGAAAGATGTGATTAGCATTTGCTCAGTGTTAGTAAAACACAAAATTGAGAGCAAAGCAAATGAAGTATCACCGTTGTTTAAAAGAGAAGCAGATGCCAGAGAATGCTAGTGATATTACAAAGGGACAGGAATCCCAATTTCAGAGAGAATTTCCTCTCAATGTTCTATTTTCCTTTAAGAACACCAGCTGCATGGGTTTTGTAATACAGAAGACATGTTTGCAACAGTGAAGAACTTTAGCTATAAAAAATATTTTAAAATGGTTTACCAGCAACCTATCCAAGACAGTACATTCATTTAAAAGGCAATTGAGTGTATATGGTACTACCCTTAATGCTCTTTTTATAAATTTGCTAGCTTTCTTTTAAATAAAATGAGATACCATCTGAATGTTGCACATTCATTAATCCACACTGGCCCCAGAGTACCTCAAAGAGGTGCACATTTCAAGTTCTAGGTGGTTTCAGCAACAAGATAACATGTTTTCTTGAGAGGAAAGGTGAAGAAGACACTTCCCACTCAACTGAAGCCAACCATGCTAACAGGGAAAAGGGATTTTAAAGAACACCCTTACTGAGTTGGCTGTTTGCAGCAGAAGCAGGTGGGCTTGGCCTGCCAGGCCCCACTTCCCAGGATGGTCTCTTCTTCCAGCAGCATCCCTACATGATGGATTGGTTGCCTCTCACTGACAGATGCTGACAGCCTGAACTAGAGGTGTTAAGATTCAGGTGTAGATGAGTGTGCTGGCCAGAGCTAGGATCTTAGCAGCACTGTGGAAATTACAAAACAGGGTAGTTCTGAGACCCTCCAACCTAGTGACCAGAATGACAGGATCAGCTACCTCCTGACGTTCACGTCAGTCTGCAGGAAAGTGGGCCCTATAAACTTGTAAACAGTGTTTAGGCTCTTGTACAAAATACTGCAGATACGGTGATAAAAACCCACCCAGACTCGTATGTCACTGTTCTTTTCACAGAAAAAGTGTCAATCTATAGAGCTCCATCCTTGGGTAGCTCCCTCTAGGACCACTGTATCCGAGGGTTTGAGATAGATGGCCGGATGCTGCCCTTGGGAGCTGGTTTGGATCCAAACCACGACATCTGTATTTGAAACAGAAAAGGCACCTGAGATGAGAATTAGTGCCCTCCCCATCCCTGGGCGTCCCTATCCCATTCTCTACACATTCTGACTCTGGCTACAAACAGAGGTGAATGAGATGGTTCCAGTAAATCAGTCTGCTGGGCCAAGAGCCCACTCTTAAGTATGGGAGTTGACAGGAATAAGGTTTTGAAATGGTAGGTTTTTCCTTATTTTTAATTACTGTTTTATGCAACTACTTTTTGAACATTTTTCTTTTTTTAAAGTCTGGGCATTGGGCCAGATGTGGGCTATTGATGAAGTAATACAAATGGAAATGCTTTATACGGGCCTGCTGGTCAGTCATGTCCTCAATTAATATTGGCTGAACCAAGTTCATGATCCAAAAGCAACTTTTAAGCAGACAATGCAGCTCTGGCTGCTTACCTGCCTTGAGGGGCAGACTCCTTTGCCTGGGCTGGGACTGCTAATTACATTATTGGGAGGTTGCAACAGCAGATCAGGGAACCCTACCTTATACTCCAGTGTTTCTTTGAGCATGTTCTCTTCTTCTTGAGAAAAGTTTAGCAACACTGACACGGCTTTTATAAGGTGAAAAGCCTGAAACAAAAGTTTTGCTGAATGGGCTTTGGTGGCAGGAGTCAGGTGGCTAAATGGCAGAATGTCCTCTGTTTCTGCTCCTGATGTCTGTTCCTGACTTGGCTGACAAGGACTGGGTGGTGAGTGAGGTCTCTTTTTCCCATCCATCTTTCTGGGACAGGCAGAACCAGTCCCAACCCTCTGGCCATAGCAGCCTGGTCAGGATTAAGGAGTAGAGCCCACCTCTCCCACCCTCTACTCACTGCTGGATGCTCAGTTGAAGACATGACTAAGGTCCTGGAATGTGGGTGAGGGGAGAGAGAAGTAGACTGGGTGGGAACATAGCTGGGACAGATATGCCAGGCCCTGAGTTAGAACTCAATACCCAAAGCCAATGCAAGAGCCCTTTACCTCGGATTCTCGACAGGACATGAATTTTAGAACAACGTGTTTCAGGTACTCAAAGTTGATCTCCCGAGCATCAGTCAGGTCAGCATTATTTGTGACAGATGGAGCCAAGTTTGCCACCTCGGGGCCAGGCTTCTCCCGGGTTTCAAAAAGCTCATTATCAGGTCTGATTTTCTGAAAAAGTCGATGGAAAGATGCTACAATAAACCTTAATTCAAGGTAGGTTTAACCATCATGCCACAGAAAGGTGACCTGACCCAAACTGCTGTTTCCATGCTACATCTGACACATCACAGGGCAAAAAGGGTCCCACGTGGGAAGGAAACACCAAAGCCTGAGGCAGACTCAGCATCTCCAGGTGAGGCTGCCATCTGAGAGAAGGCAGAGGTCATTTGACATTTCCTTTATCCAGATCAAGGACATATTGCCCCAGGGCAGTGTGTCACAGCTCAGCCAGGAGTGGACATGCTGCTCGCATCCTGGTCTGGGCCAGACACCAATAGGACCTGCGCTGTTCTCAGAACAAGCCCCTGAGGCAGGGAGCATTTCCATTTCCAGATGTGGACATAGGGTCAGAGAAGGAGGGCACATGCCCATCACAGAACCATCATCGTCGGGGGAGAAGGGCACCATCAGGTAGGGAGGGAGCCCAGGAGGACCAGACAGAGAGGAGGGGCTCAGCAGTCTCAGCTGGCCACTGCTCAGGCACTCACCAGTTCTTTCTGCAGAGTCTTTTTAAGTTCTAGCATCCTCTGCTGCATCTGCTTTATGACCTGAGATAATCCCCACAGCAAAAAGTCATTTGTTAAATGCACATTTCACAAAAGAAAGATACCCCTTGGGTACCCTCACCCCACCTGTTAAAAGTCTGCCCCTGTCCTGAGAGGTTCCAAGCAGTTTTCATACCCATGTGCTACTGTGGACCCTGCTTTTCTCATGTGATTTTGCAGCCATGTATGCTGTCAAACTGTCCATGCCATCTCTGAATAGTCCCACTGCTGCTCAACCCAGGGTCTTAGTCACAGGATTGTGTCTAGTCCTTGCCACATGAAGAGCGCAGCTATAAACATCCATATACAATGTGTTTTATCCTTTAGAATTCTATTTTTGCTAGGATCCTAAGGCAGATGACTAAGGCAAATGTATGGTTCTCTTCATCGCCATGGCTCTCCTTAAATACCATAATTGCTAATGCCAACTTGGAACAGTGTAAAATATCATGGTTTTTCTGCATAATCTCACCAACATGGGCTTTTGTATCTTTTATTTATTTTTCATTAGTGAGTTTATTATTAATATTATGAACCTTAAGTATAAGATCCTGGCATGACTTTGGAGGATAAGTTAACTGGACTGCTGATGTCAGCAGTTCAAATCGACCCGCCACTCCTTGGAAACCCTATACAGAGCTGCTATGAGTTGGAACTGACTTGATGGCACTTAGCAACAAGAGGTATAATTTATTACACATTCTATTAGTCGCTGTAGTTCTGGTGTGGCACTACAGGGTAATGTACTGGATGGTAAGGTCAGTCTAAATTGTACCGTTGGTGGTTAAAACTCACCAACTACTCCTCTGGGACCCTACACAGGGTCCCTATGAGTCGGAACTGACTCAACGGCACTTAACAACAACAACAATTAGTCACTAGGAATACTGAACTTCATTTTCCCGATTTAAAAAATTCAATATATAATCATAGAAATGTAGGAAAAAATGTAAATTTTCTCCAAAGTCTCACAACTGTAACATATCAAAAAATTGCTTTTACTAAGTATTTCTAGTCTATGTTTATATTCTTGCATGGAGCAAGTAGAATTTTGAATAGTTTTTATAAGAATTTCTACAGTTTTGCTGACCATAACCTGTGAGCACAGTAACTAGGGTCTAGCTTTTAAACAGAGCTGTGATAAGCTTTGGGAGAGAAGGGTACCATCAGACACTCTAGAAAAGGTGACTTAGTGGACTGTCTCTCAAAGTCAGAGAACCAAGACAGTTTTTTATAGTTTCATAATTAACATAAAATTCAAACGATTCCTATCACACCAAGGTTTATAAAATGGTACTTAGTTATTTACATTTTGTTCATCATTTGCTCATTCATTAATTCATTCAGCAAATATTGACCTAGATCATACTATATGCCAGAAATTCTTAGAGACTGGGAAAATAGCAACAAACAAAGAAGGACAAGATATCTGCCTTGATGAGGTAAAAAGTCAACAAATATGCATCAGGCCAGAAGGTATTAAAAGCTATGAAGAAAAAAGACAGCAAGGTAAAGGGGAGGTAGGAAGTTGTGGTGACGGGAGGCACTGGCAGGGGTAACAGGTAGAAAGAACCTTTTAGACAGAAGGCTCTGAAAACGAACAGGCCTTGGGGTGTGGGAAGATGCTTGATACAGTCACAGAAATACAAGGCTATTATGGCTGAGAGGAAGCGATGGGGAATGAGGTGACCATGAGATCCATATTTGTGCCCATTCCAAAGAGAGGTGACCCAACGGACTGCAGAAATCATATGACAGTATCTTTGATATCCATGCGAGTAAAGTTTACTAAAGGTACTAAAGAAATGGCTGCAAGCATACATTGACAGAGAACTTCCAGAGGTTCAAGGTGGATTCAGAAGAGGACTTGGAGCTAGGGATATCACTGCTGATGTCCGATGGATCTTGGCTGAAAGCAGAGAATAGCAAAAAGATGTTTACCTGTGCTTTACTGACTACTGTGGATCATGACAAGTTATGGACAACATTGCAAAGTATGAGTATTCCAGAACACTTAATTGTGCTCATGGACCAAGAGCCAGTTGTTCGAACAGAACATGGGAACACTGAATGGTTTAAAATTAAGAAAGGTGTGCGACAGGGTTATATTCTTTAACCATACTTATTCAACCTGTATGATGAGCAAATAATCTGAGAAGCTGAGTTATATGAAGAAAAATGTGGCATCAGAATCGGGAGGAAGACTCATTAACAATCTGCGATATGCAGATGATACAGCCTTGCTTTCTGAAAGTGAAGAAGACTTAAAATATTTACTGATGAAGATCAAATAAGCACAGCCTTCAGTATGGATTGCATCTCAATGTAAAGAACAAAAATCCTCACCACTGGACCAATAAACAACATTCTTATCAATGGAGAAAAGATTGAAGTTGTCAAGGACTTCATTATTCTTGGATCCACTATCAACACTCACAGAATCAGCAGTCAAGGAATCAAATGACATATTTATTGCATTAGGCAAATCTGCTGCACAAGACTTTTTTAAAGCGTTGAAGAGTAAAGATATCAGTTTGAGGACTAAGGTGCGCCTGACCCAAGCCATGGTATTTTTAATAACCTCATATGCATGTAAAAGCTGGACAGTAAATAAGGAAAACCATAGAAGAATTCATGTTTTTGAGTTATCGTGTTGGAGGAGAAATACTGAAAGTACCATGGGCTGCGAAAAGAACCAACAGATCTGTATTAGAAGAAGTACAGCCAGAGTGCTCCTTGGAGGCCAGGATGGCCAACCTTTGTCTCTCATACTTCGCACATACTGTCAGGAGGGACCAGTCGCTGGAGAAGGATATCATGTTTGGTAAGGTGGAGGGTCAAGGAAAAAGAGGAAGACCTGCAGCAAGATAGATTGGCAAAGGGGGCAGTATCAATGGGCTCAAGCATGGCAACAATTGTGATGCTGGCCCAGGACCAGGCAGTGTTTTGTTCTGTTATACATAGGCCCTCGGAAACCCTGTACAGGGTCGCTATGGGTCGGAACCGACTCGATGGCACTTAACAACAACAACAACATAGGATCACTAAGTGTCGGTACCAACTCGATGGCACCTAACAACAACAACAAAGACCCTGGCTTTTATCAAGCTAGGAAGTCATCTGAGGCCTGAGGCAGACGAGTGATGGGAAGAATGATCAGAAGACTAATACCAATCTCCAGAGACAGGATGATGATGACTTGGACTAGGGAGCAGCAGAGGTGGTAAAGAGAGGCTGTGTGGAGTTGGAGGGAAGCGCCAAAAGAATTTGCTGATATTTTGGATGTTGGTTGTCAAAAAAGAAGGGGATTACGGTTAACTTCACAGTTCCTGTCATTTACTGAGATGGAAAGACTAGCAGAAGAAAGCAGGGAGACATGGTGAATCCGAAGCTTGCTTCAGGGTGTTTCATGTTTGAGATGCCTTGTAGACATCTGGTTGTAGAGTAGGCAGACCCAAGAGTCTATAGTTCTTGGGAGTGGAGGTAGCAGTAGACAGTTCTGGGTATGACTGCCAAGGCACTGTGTGTGACTGAGAGAAGAGGACCAAGCTCTGGACCACTAGGTTTGGAGGAAGGGACAGGGAACTGAACCATCAGAGGAGACAGAGAAAAAGCAGTCAAGATGAGAATAAGGATGATGGAGAGATTCATTATCAGTCAATGGCACTGATCACGATACATTTTTTTCCTGTGCAGTGGTGCAGTGGTGCAGTGGTGCAGTGGTGCAGTGGTAGAGGTAAAAGCCTTACTGGACTGGATTAAAGAGAGCATAAGAGGCGTGGAAATAGAGACACACAGCAAATACAGCAAGTTTTGCTATGGAGGAGAGCTGAGAAATATGACAGTAACTAGAGAAGGACTGAGTTCAGAGTGCTTTTGTAAGATGCTTCATATTACAGCATGCTTGTAAGTGAATGGAATGACCCAGGAATGAGAGAAATGATAATGTAGGACAGGGAGGAAAGCAGGAGCAGCAAGGGATGTAATGCATGGGGGAGAGGTTGTGCAGACGGTTCAACACAGTAACAGAAAGGCAGGTATGGCCAAGGGTGCCAAGGTATATGGAAATACTTCTGTTTCTAATTTCTCAGTGAACTAAAATGCAGGGATATCAATGGAAGTGTGAGGGGAAAACTGGAGACCGAGGAAGTTAGAGATGGTAGAAATGAAGTTGTGATCAAGAGGAGTGGTAAGAAAAGGTCTCTCTAAATGTGGCAGGGTTGCTGGGTGGCACTGGGGCTACCTAGAGGGTAGTCCTTCTGACTTTCAAGGGAGACAAGTCAGTGTAACTATTCATTCCCCAGCTACATTTGACTCCATAGTTGCAGGTGCAGAGTAGGCAAGAGCTGGGTTTAACAAATGAGGAAGAGTAGAGAGGCCAGAGAAGTGAGGGTGATTATGACAAAGGACTATGGCATCAGTTGGGTTAAGAGAGGAATAAAGATGTAAGGATAATGAGGACAGAAGAGGGACTGATGGCAGGTAATGGTGTAGAGTTTACATGAAACTGAAAAGCAGGCAAAATTATACTTCGTTTTCAGGTATGCAAGATTAAGTGGTAAAAGCAGAGAGAAAATCCAGGAAGTAATTTCCACAAAAGTGGGACAGGGGTCACTGACAGAGACTATGAGGGCACGCTGAGGATGCTGGGCTGTTGATTAACTTGTGATTCCTGTCCAAGGGGGTGCTTATATGTGTGTTTGTTTTTGGATCATTCAATGAGCCATACAATTTTGTCTTGTGTACTCTTCTATCTACATTTTATATTTTATAATAAAAAGGTAAACGAGAGTAAGAGTGAGAGAGAGAGGATAAATATGAACCATCTTTCTTTTTTAAAGATCTGAAAGAATTATATACACACAATTTTGGGACAGAATTTCAGGCCAGAACTAAAGCTAGCCAGCCATTCAACTTTACATTAGAAGTCAGAATCACATGAGATCCTGCACTTAGGGGTGCAGAGACCTAGCAGGTTAGGCAGAACCATGACATTTATTAAACCTTAGAGAACACCAGAAAGCACACATGGCAGTTATGGAGCACCTTCATGTGAGAATGGTTCAGGCTCTCAGACTCGGTCACTCTCACCATCTCAACTGGGCTGGGGCGGGGAGAGTGGAGAGGAGGATGCGAAAGGAAGCCCACACATCAATTAAACAGAAGTCCTCTTGAAGAAAGGGGTAGTATCACCCTCAAGAGGTGCCCAGGCACCTCCAAAGCCCTTTAATAAGAAACTGAGTTACTAAGGCACCAGGATGGGGAAGGGCGGCAATGTAAGCAGGCAGGTAAAGAACTTCCTCACCTTGTTTTTCTCTACAAGGTGCTGCTCCAAGTCCTGTTTTTCCTTCTGTAGCTGCCCTAGAGCCATGGTCCCGATCTCACCATTTGGTGTTCCCTCTGCAGCTGAAAGCTGGTACACAGGGTCCTTCACTGCCTTCAAGTTTACCTACAGGGTGGTGGCAGAAGGTTGAGGACTCATGGCAGCTAATGTGCAAACTAACTCACAGGCACACGGGGAGGGGGAGCCAGACATGGTGGGCAGTTAACCTGGTTTAGTGCCTTCCAGAAGAACACTTAGCTTTCCATGCAACATATCTGCTCAGAAGGGAACATCACGAGGTGCTGTCACACACCGTGGACTCATAAAGCCTTACAAGCTCAAGATCCCCCAGCCACTGAACACCACAGCTTTCCCCCAAGGTATAGCCACAGCACACAGCGGTGACCCACCACAGGGCCTAGCAGCACAGATGGCACTTACGTGAGTCTCATTGACTGAGGGAGCCAGCCCTGGCTCCTGGCCTGGCAGCCTCTGTGGGTCCTCCAGGGCAGTGGCTGCCCCAGGCTCCTCTGCCCTCACACTCCTTGGGGCCTCCAGCTCACTCTGCAGCTGGCGTATCTGCAGCAGGGCAGAGTCATGACCTAGGCCGGGCAGAGGGCATGGGTATACAGTGAGCTGACCCCACATGGCCCCATGACTGGGCTGAGTCTCAGGGCAGCAAAAGCTGAGCATGCTCTGTTAGGGGCAGCTCCTCACCTTTCTTTAGCTGGAGAATCTCTTCCTCTTTCTGGAGAATCACTTCAATTTTTTCCTGCAGACTCTGCTCATTCTCATCCTTTAATGCTGTGAGGTTAGCAACCTTCCAGAGAGAAAAATGGACATGAGGGGAGATTAGCAGCAGTAACTCCTACTCCCTCAAGGAATCTCTACTTTTCCCACCACCTATGAATCCCTCCCTTAAGCCTATGGCCTAGAATATAGCCCAAGCTAACCCCAGCATCTATAAATATGCACAACTCAGTCCTCCTTGGCAGGGACAATCACTTCTCACTGCTCCTCTGCCCTGCAGGGGGCCAGTCACAGATAACTATTCTGTCTAGCCTTCCATAGAGAAGTCATCACCATCATTTCCATCTGTGTCATGCCTGGCAACTGGTGGGCATTTGACCTGGTGTGGTGCTGTGGGATAATGCATTGGACTGCAAGACCAGTTTGAGCACCAACCACTCCTGTGTCATGCCTGGCAACTGGTGGGCATTTGACCTGGTGTGGTGCTGTGGGATAATGCATTGGACTGCAAGACCAGTTTGAGCACCAACCACTCCTGAAAGGTACGATGATCCTAGAGTGCTTCTCAGAGGTGACTCTGAGGACTTATGGCTACATCTTCTAGTTCATTAACTAGAAGATCTGGGACCTGACACAGAACCTGTCTCCCGCACTTCCTGCCAATAGCTCAACCCAAAGTGTTTGGGCAGCCTGACTGTAGTTTCCAGACCTGTGGAAGGCACTGGAATACCTCACAGAATTAGAGCCCAGAAGGTACCAAGTATGGACTTTTTTCCAAGTGGTGTTTATAACTAACAATAATTGACTGTCAAAATCAGAAAAGGCATCCTCTAGGGTGAGGGCTTTTTGTAACATTTCTCCCTCCCTCCTGTACACCATAGGAATCACACAGTGAACCACAATCCCTAAGACTGTGTCTACTCCCTAACCTGGACAGATGGGACCTCTTTCTGTCCTCCATCCCCCCTGCCTGGGACCAACCTGTTGTTGGAACTCTTCCTTTTGTTTCCGCATCTCCTCCAGGGCTTGAGCCATCGCCACACTCACAACTTCTCTTTGGCCACACTCTTCCTACAATCCAGAAAAAGGTAGGAGATTGAGCCCAGAAACCCAGTTCTCATTTTCTTACCTGCATGCTTCGCAGAGACAGAGGCAGTACTATCTTGAATGGTTAAATGAACATTCTTCCTGCTTCTCTAGGTTCCCAGGCTGCCCTCTTGCTGCAGTGCCTTTGGTGCCTCTGGTAACTGTCCTTAAGGACAACACACTGAGCTCTCTGGAAATGGGCATACCACTGAGGACTGTTCAGTTCATGAGCACACTAGACAGTACTCAGGCCAAGGCTAGGAGAGTGGGTACCCAGAACTTGAAGAGCTAGTCTAGTGAAATCAACACAAAACAGGAAGAAAGAGCCTCAGGCTCCTGTGAATTCACTGGTATACAGGAATAATCAGTTAAAGAAGCAATGATAAGCAATTACTGAACGCTTAATAGGGAAAAATGTTACTGATTCATCCCATCTTATGTGAGAAAAAATTGAGGCTCTGAAAGATAAAGTATTTTGCCCAATGTCTTAGAGCTAGTCAGTGGCACAGCTAAATTAAAAATCAGTATCTGTATGAGCTAGAGCCAGAGCCTTTGGATATACGGTTCTAACACCCAGAATACTTTCAACCATGAGCAGGGCTGTCTTCCTGGCCTTCTTTAGAGCATGGGGAATATTCTTTCACACAACACAATACCAGCCCTCTTTCCTGATACTACTGCCCATGCCTGCCAATCTAGCCCCAGATGAACCATATGACATTTTAGGTGCCTGTATACTGGTCAGGGTGATGTCCTAGAGAAAACATGAGGTGAGCATCTACTCAGAGTCTCCCTTCTATTTTGGGTAACCGTCATCATTCCTATTTCCCATTCTCACTCGTAATGAGAGTGAGGGTTCTGGTAGGGTTGCCAATCATGATACCTCACCTATGGCTACAGGGATAAACAAGTGATTTGAATCTAGCTAATCAGAGTCTCTCAGCCTCTTGGCCACAGGAATATGCCCAGAAAGTGGCTTTAGTCACAAACATGGGCCAATCAAAATCCAGAATCTTTCTTTGTACCAGAATCCTTTTCATATGGTAAAGGTGAGGGAGAGAAGGCCTCTTTTCCTTAAGAGTCACTAAGCTGGAATGTTCCAAGCTTGAGCTGCTGTGGCAATGTCCACCCAATCTGGAAGAAACAAGGTCGAGGAGAAGGGAATGAGAATACGTGAGCAGGTAGGCATGTAATCTTGCTGGTGACCACGCTGGTCTACCGATAAAGAGAAGTAGGGGAAAAGCAGCAATGTAGATGTGGGCTGAGTCCAACCATGTTCAATAGACTCCTGTCAACCTGGAGAGAGACCTGGTTGGCCAGCAGTATGGTGAGATCTGGGGACTCCTGAGCCCATGGACAGGGACACAGCCACACAGGGATAGAGCAGAGAGTGAAGTGTCCAGCTGATACGAAGTAATGGGAGATGCACAAGAACACCCATACTTGCAGATAGTACCCATGTGACCTAGCTTCAATGGACAGATGATCAGAACTCGACTAGAGGAAGAAAGAAGAAAAAAAAAGTGTAATCCGCTACAATTTGATGAACTTGACCTAGACTTATGGATGTAGTAGCTTAAAAGAGGGAAGGAATCTTTACTGCAAGGATTATTTCCACCCCTTCTGTACACAAGTTTGATAGGAATGGGCAACTTAGACATTGGCTATCTAAAATGGGGGGTTTAGAAAGCACGAAGTGACTGGCTTACAAGTTTATAAGAGGGAGTTTAGTTTTAGAGGGTGTGGGGGAAGGTAGAATCTCCACTGAGTGGTTTTCAACCTGTCTGGACAGGGCTGGCCAAAGGAGATGGGGATAAGACTCTTGTGGTTCAATAGTGAGTAATTGTTATCAGGGCTGACTGCAATTGTTGCAAATGTAAAGGCAGACGTTTTGTAACAAAAAGAAGGGAGTAGTTGATCTTGCAATCCAGGAGCAGAGGACCCTGGGACCATAAAGGGAGAAAAGTGGGAGTGGAGTATGGGATCCTATCCAGAGAAGCAGCGATGCCAGAGATGGAGGCAGAGATAATGACATAGAGAGATAGAGCAGCTGGGAACGCTAGACTTATGGAGGGAGAAGGGCTATGTGCTGGCGTCCATGGGGCAGGCTTGCAGGGTATGCACTTTGGTTGTTTGAAGGATTACATATTCCTGAGCGTTGTGGTGTACATCCAAAAAAAAAAACCAACCAAAGGGAATAGAAGCAAATACTGTTGCATGATGATGCATGGAGGGGACTGTAATCATTGCAATGAAATGAAATATGACAGGATGAGTGTAAAGCTGAGCTGATGTTCTCCCATGTAAACTATCACTTAATTCACAATAAAAACTTAAAAAAAAAAAAAAAGATTTGGGAGACTGACAGGGCAAGAGGATGACTGATACAGAAACAGATCAGACCTGATAGGGGGCCCCTGGTTCCAGTCCAACAAGTCTTATGAGCTACCAAATTCCTTCTAAAAATCTTCTTTCCATTGATCCAGTATAAACTAGTTAACAGAGACACCAGCATCAGGACCAGCAGCATCTTGGCTCCTCTACCCTGGAACTGTTATGAATTTATGTGACTTATTTATGTGCGTTCACCCCTTGTGGATACAGATCATTTTGGAGCCTGAACTCGAGAAGCTGAGGATGGGACCCTGGAATACCTTAGACAATGCCCATTATCATTAGGGTTCCCCAACTACATTCTACTCCCAAACACAGGTTCAGGGAGTGGTTCTGATCACACAAGAGAAGGAGCAAGATGTTTTGGGCTCAGATGAGCTACGAAGACCTGACCCAAAATGCCCAGGAGGGGAGAATCACAGGAATGCCAAGCCTTCTCATGAACCTTTTCTCAGGAAGTTTATGAAAGGTACTTATGACTACTAGATGTTTAAAGACAGGAGGCCAACAAGAGCCAGAAGCCAACAAGGCAGCCCAGGGCAGGAGCAAAGACTCAGATCACTCTCCTGCTTGGCACTGCACCTGGCACTTTTCCTCTGTATTGTGCTTGATCCTCAGAGTAATGAAGGTCAAAGATTATCATCTTAGAGAAAAGAAAAGAAATTCCCTAAAGATCACTTAGTTGGGGCAAGATTGGAACACAGAACCAAAGTCTGTGTGGTTCTAACCTTTGTGTTACTGCCACAGAGCCACATCAAAGCTAGGTCTGTGGGATTCAAAGTCTACTGCTGGCACTGCTGTATTTTGGCCCACACTACCTGGGAGCCACAGGCTACCCATGGGCAACAGTTCTGGCACCTGGGATCCATTTGCTGGAAGTGGTTTTGGGGAAAACAGAGACAATAACAATCTAAGTATGTGTGCATCTAACAACAGTGCTTTTTCAAAATTACAGGAGGTAATAATCGACAAAAATAAAAGTAGAAATAGACAAATACACCACTGTAGTTGAAGATTTAACACAATTATTTCAGTGACTGATGGAACAAGTGGACAAAATAAAAAAAACAAGATTTGAATAATACTATTGGTATGGGCTATCCGATAAGCACTGGACTGTTTATCACAAGGTCAGCAGGTCAAACCCACCAGCTGCTCCTTCCCTATACAGTGTCGTTGTGAGTTGGAACTGACTCAATGGCACTGAACAATAACCCTGAAGGATATGGCCAACCGTGTATCTCTGCAGGATAACGCACTGGACTACAAGGTCAGTTTGAGGCGCAAGTTTGGCAGTTCAGCGGTACTGAACAACAACAACAATCTATCTTGGTAAATATTTCAGCTCACTTGAAAAGAATATACATTCTGCTGCTGGCAGAATATATTTATATTCTATAAATGTCCTTTAGGTCAAGTGGTTGGTTGTTGTTCAGTGCCTTCCAGTGGATCCAGACTCATAGTGACTCTGTGTAGGGTTGTTAAGGAGTGGCTGGTGGGTTTGAAGTTTGCAACTTTGCAGTTGGCCATCCAATGTTTATTCTACAGTTCCACACCACAACTCCATCCTTCAAAGTACCTGACTAAAATTGTATTAAACTAGAAATCCAAGGTATCCAGAAAATCTCCCAAATGCTTAGAAATTAAGCTCATTTCTAAATAGCTTGTGTGTGCTGGTTTTAAAGCCATAGCTTCTCACTCCCACACTCATTCTTTTTTTTTTTTTTCTTCTTCTTCTTTTAAAATGTTTTATTGTGAATTATGTGATAGTTTACAAGGGAGGACATCAGCTTCACATCGATCCTGTCATATATCATTTCCCTTGCCATGGTTACAATCCCCTCCATGCATCATCCATCAACCAAAGGGTATACCCCACAAGCCTGCTCCCTGGTCATCCGCATACAGTTCCTCTCTCTCTCCGGGTCCTAAGTCTCCACACCCATTCTTTTACATTCTGCTTTGTAATGCTTTACAAACCATATTTTGCTCATTTGGTTGGGTCTGTATTAATCTCTCAAGTCCTGGTGTGGCACTGTACTATAAGAACTGGACTGCTAACCACAAGGTAGGTGATTCAAACCCTTCAGCAGCTCCTTGGACACCCTTATAAAGGGTCACTGAATCAGAAGTGACTTGACTGCACTTAACAATTGTTGTTGTTGTTAGGTGCCGTCGAGTCGGTTCCGACCCATAGCGACCCTGTACCGGGTTTCTGAGGGTGTAAATCCTTACGGGAGTAGAAAGCCTCATCTTTCTCCCGCGGAGCGGCTGGTAGTTTCGAACCGCTGACCTTAAGGTTCGCAGCCCGATTCGTAACCACTACGCTACCAGAGCTCCTTGCACAATTACAACAATGTTAATCTCTGCCACCAGGAGGTACTGAAGAGAGATTTGTTGTTGGTAAGTGCCACTGAGTTGGTTCTGACTCAAAGTGACACTGTATAGGGTTCCGAAGAGCTGCTGGCGGGGGATTGGTAAGCAAGAAATTAAAGCAAACCAAATTCTTTGCTTGTGACCTACAGGACAGAGCAAACTGCCCTATGTGGTTTCCAAAGCTGCAATCTTTATGGAAGCAGACGTCCATAGATTTCACCCATGGAACAGCTAGTAGATTCAAACTCTTGACCTTTTGATTAGGAGCTAAGCATTTAACCACTGTGCCACCAGGACTCCTATAACAGGTAAGAGGAGACAGAAAAAAATTTGTTCCTTTCTGTCCACGTTTTGACTTGGTGAACATTAGCCCAGCTGTACTTTCTGGCCCCGCAGCGGCAATTTCCCCTGAAGCAGCAGCTGCATCCTCTTTTCTGGTTTTCCAGCACTTAGCAGCAGAACCCAGTCATGGTCCCCTTCCCCACAAGACATCACCAAACAGTGTAGTGTCCCCTCCTCAGAGGTCTGGATTTCCCAGTTTAATAATCTTAGCCTCTTCATTTTGCTCCCTTAGTCCTAGAGGTGGAAATGGCTTTCTGTAGTTTCTACCATTGTGATATCATTTTACTATTTTTAGCACCAGGTTAAAAAAATTACGTTAGTTAATTCTATAGCGTCTCCTCATTCAAATAACAAGTGTGGTTTCTATCTCCTAACTAGACTGCAAATGACATACTACGAGTCAAAGAAGAAATTACAGAAGAACTAGAAAATATTTTGAATTGAATGATATTGAAAACACAACATTAAAATAAGAGGGAGGTAGTTACAGCAATGATCTGAGGGAATCGTACAGATTTAAATGCCTATCTAGAGCGTGGGGTCTCTGTAAGATAAGCAGTGGACTGTGAACCATACGGTCAGCAGTTCAAGCTGACCAGCTGCACCGTGGAATACAGGTGAGACCTTCTGCTCCTGCAAAAAATGCACAGTCTTGGTAATGTGGAGTATCAGCAATGAGATGGGTTGTCATACCGGCAGCAGCAACGGGCTCAAACATAATAACAGTTGTGAGGATGGTACAGGACTAGGCAGTGTTTCATTCTGTTGTGCATAAGGGTGCTATGAGTTGGAACTGACTCGATGGCACCTAACAACAACAACATGTGTTATATAATAGTCTATTATGTAACTTTGATCCTTTTAAAAGGCAAATAAAGAACAGAAAAGCTTGGTGTTCAGTTGGAAAAAAAATATACAGGGTTGCTATGAGTTGGAACTGACTCGCTAACACTTCACAACAGCAATAAATGTCTGTATTAGAAATGAAGGTGTAACATCAAAGACGTAAACATACATCTTAAAAAGCTAGTAAAAGAGTAACAAATTACACCCAACAAAGGAAGCAAAAAAATCTGTAAAATAGAAATCAAAGTCAAAAGTAGGGACTTGAAAAAGCATGTGCTTGTTCACTATACAAATGTGAACCAACTGGCTCTATAGTTCTCACTTTGACAGATGAGCATACTGTACCTCAGAGAGGAGCAGTGACTTGCCCAAGGTCACAGAGCTGACTGAGATGGCTCTGCTGCATCTAAGGCTAGCCCTTCCATCTCATCTACCCCAGTACTCTGCCCTCTTCTTTGCACCACCAATTCTACATCCAATTTCTCCACATCCTCACCATTGTTATCCTACTGATCACAATCATCCTACTGGGGGTGAAGTGGTCTCTCACTGTGCTTTGTATTTAGAATTACTCTTTATATATCATCTCAAACTTCTTTATCTCAGTGAATGGCACCACTACTCACTGTCCCAGTGGTTCTTCTCAAGGGATGTTTGGGAGGTTCTCAAGGGATGTTTGGGAATGTCTAAGACTTTTTTGGTTGTTGTCAGTGGGGTGGCTACTGACACCTAGTGGGCAGAGCCAGGATGCAACTAAATATCCTACAACGCACAGCACATCTCTCTTGCCCCAATCCCAACAAAGAAGTATCTGTCCTCAAATGTTAATATGAGAGGGCTTCAAAAAGCTTGTGGGAAATGGAGTTAAAATAGAATTTTTCCACAAACTTTCTGAAGCTCCTTCATGGTGCACAGAGATTGAGAATCCCCCAAATTGCACAAACCAAATCTAGGAGTAACCTCCAATTTCCTTTTCATTCATTCCTTCCACTTTAATCAAAGGCATGTCCTAAATGCTTCATATCTACAATAGATCCTCAATCTTAATACTTCTTCCCACTAACATGTTAGTCAGTCACTTCTAGCCTAGATTACTAAAACCTCCTAAAAGTTCTCCCTGCTTTTGTCCTTGCCTCCCTGACAGAACATTTTCTATATGGAGGCAGAGTAATCTTTTAAAACTAAAACTACTCAAATCACTTCTTGTTATCTTGGTATTATATTTAGAATATTATCTACCATTCTCTACTATGGAGCTCTGGTAGCGTCGTGGTTACAAATTGGGCTGCTAACCGCAAGGTCAGCAGTATGAAACTACAAGCTGTTCCGCAGGAGAAAGTTGAGGCTTTCTGCTCCCATAAAGATTTACAGCCTCGGAAACCCCCGTATAGGGTCGCTGTGAGTCAGTTCTGACTCCACGGCACATAACCACCACCACCACTACCACCACTGTTCTCTCCCAGTTCACATAAGCTTCAGTCACATTAGCTTGTGTGCTGTTCTTTGAAAAAACCAAGTTCCTTCCTTCTGCCTTGGTTGTGGTGGTTATGTGACGTGGAGTCAGTTCCTTCTGCCTTAGTGCCTTTCTATTTCCTATTTCTTGTATCTGGCATATTCCTCCCTCAAATAATGACAAAGCTAGCTTATTCTCATTATTTAGGTCTTTTGCTCAAAGTATCATTAAGGCCTTCCTACCTTCTATATTTAAAATAGCCATCTCCTCCTCCACCCCATTTTATTCATAGCATTTACTACCATTTTATCATTTATTTATTATCTACAGGTTATAAACGCCACAGAGGAGATACTTTGGTATGTTTTGTACATTACTATATCCCTAAAACCTACAGTGGTGTCTAGCACTTACAAGCACTCAAATGTTTGTTGAAGGAATAAATGAAAAACTGACTCCAAAAGTACATGTTTCCCACAATGCTCCACGATGCATTAAGATGGAAGTAACAAATCAGATGCTATTATTGAAAGCTTACTAGTTGCAGGATGTTCTAAGTGTGATCTCAGAAATCTCTACCAACGAGCCAAAAGATCTTTGCCATTCACTATCCAATAGTCCCAAGCTGGACAAGTACAGCAATGACCCATCATCCTAAGGGTTAGGGAAGTATGGATACCTATAGGAAATGACAGACTCTCCCTCTTCTCTTCATCCCAAGGAAAAATGAGGCAGCATCTGATTAAAACACTGAGTTCTCAGATAAATAAGTGTAACAACTGAAGTAATTACCTGTTACTTCATTTCTGTACATGGTTCCTGATACAAATAAATGGAAGTTCTTATGATCTTCTAAAGCCTTGCTTTACTAGTCTGACTGGGAAAATCAGCAAGAGTGGTGCTCTGACAGCACTGCTTTAAGGCAGCTGTTGTTGACAGAGAAAGGGCTGGGTCTCTGTGCTGGAAAGGAAATAGCTTGGATCCGGAAGTCAGACAGACCAGTTTTACCTCTAATTAGCTTTATCAATTTGGACAAATTGTATATACTCAGAATCTTAATGACACTGACTGCAAAATGGGCATATTTCTTACTATTGTTCTGAACCACTTAGAGGATTTAATGATGAGACAAGCACCTACAAATACTACTATACAGAATCCAAATATACATGTGATGAATAAAAGATGTGAACACTTTTGTGAAACTACTTCAATTATGAAAATACCTTTAGCTTCTTTAGTTCAAGTTGGTGAAGTTGTAAAGAACATTCATATTCATTCTTACTTTCTTTAAGGGCTGTATTTGCTTTCTCTAGTTCTCTCTGGAAATGTGGAAAAACATAAACATAAATGAAAAGTCTTAAGTAGCTAGCCTATTTCCCCTGGACAATCTCTTTGACATTCTACCTGAAATGCATTTTATTGTTTGTCACTGCAGGAGTGGAAAATAAGAATGGAGCTGGGGGTGAGAGTTATCAGGAGAATTAGGTAATAATTCTCACGACTATGATATAGTAAGAGGGAACCATGGGAAGGAAAAAGGCATTTGAGAGGAAAAAACAATTTTAGACATGAAAAAGTTTAGTAGGGTGGTCAGAAATCACCAGGAAGTCTCTACAGGGCCCAAGGAAAAAGAAAAGCCAACTTGTTAAATCAGGTACAGCCTCTAAAAAAAAAATCCAGTCTCATGAGTAGTGTTTTGTCGGAAAGAAAAAAAACTGCTCCCTAAAGTTGTTCCCCAGTTCAGAGAGGGATCAGCAATTCCTGCCAAACTACCTAGCAGACCTAGCTCTGCAGGAACTGGGTACTCCCCTACTTGGCCTCCTCCTGACTTTTTACTCACCATCTCATGCTTTGTGGCTGTCTCCTCCGCAGCCCGTGCTCTCTCCAGGGCAGCAACCTGGGCCTCCAGGGCATGGACATGCTCTGTGAATTGCTGTTGGGCACTGAGAGCCTGCTGCTGTGTACATCTGCTCTCCTCGTTTGCCCTGGACTGCAGGGATACCAGGGAATAATTATTCACAGAGATAGTGGTTCTCAAAGGCCATCCTCTGCTCCTAGTGACCCCAACATGGATGTCCAACTGAAGTAGCTCTTTCCTGAGAGCTGCTGAGGCCCTTGCCTGCAGGCTCTGTCTGTTGCACTGAGTGTCATGTTCTCCATCCTTAGGGTGTCTAGGGACAGTCCAGAGCACCATCCTGTCCTAAGACAGCCCTCCATTATCCCATTTAGTGTTGCCCTCTATAACTGAAGCGTTTCTTGTAGAGACATTATAATACAGTGGTTAAGAACAAGGACTTTTAGAGACCATAAGCCAGTGACTTAATTTTTTTGAGCCTAGTTCTTCTGAAGAATGAGGATAATGGTAAATACCTCCTAAGACAGCTACACAAACGAAATGAAAACACATGCCTGGGGCATGGCAAATAGGCAATCTGTGCTGGCAATTCAGCTCCAACTCATAGCGACCCTATGCATAACAGAACAAAACCCTACCTGGTTCTATGCTGCGCTCATCACTGTTATGTTTGAGCTAACTGTTGCAGCAGCAGCAGCCATCTATGTCAATCTAGCTCATTGGGAGTCTTTCTCTTTTTTGATGAGCTCATTTTACCATGTATGATGTCCTTTTACAGGGACTGGTCCCTCCTGAAGATATCCAAAGTATGTGAGATGAAATCTCTCTATCTTCACTTCCAAGGATTATTCTCATTGTACTTCTTTCAAGACGAATTTGTTTGTTCTTCTAGCAGTCCACTGTTGTTGTTAGGTGCCATCGAGGTGGTACTGACTCATAGTGACCTATGCACAACAGAACAAAACACTGCCCGGTCCTGGGCCAACCTCACAATTGTTGCCACGCTTGAGCCCACTGATACTGCCACTCTGCTAACCCACTCACTCATCTATCCCAAGAAATTTGGAAGACAAAAATCTGGCCAACTGATGGGAAGAGATCCATATTTGTGCTTATTCCAAAGAGAGGTGACCCAATGGAATGTGGAACTCATCGGCCAATCTCTTTGATATCCCATGCGAGTTAAATTTTATATTGACAGAGAACTTCCAAAGGTTCAAGCAGGATTCAGAAGAGGATGTGGGACGAGGACATCACTGCTGATATCTAATGGATCTTGGCTGAAAACAGAGAATACCAGAAAGATGTTTACCTGTGCTTTACTGACTACACAGAACTGTGTGGATCATGACACGCTATGGACAACATTGCGAAGTATGAGTAATCCTGAACACTTAATTGTCCACATGAGGAATCTGTACATGGACCAAGAGGCAGTTGTTCAAACAGAACATGGGAACACTGGATGGTTTAAAATTAGGAAAGGTGTGCAACAGGGTTGTATTCTTTGACCCTACTTATTCAACCTGTATGCTGAGCACATAATCCATGAAGCTGGGTTATATGAAGAAAAACATGGCATCAGGATTGGAGGAAAATTAACCACCTGCGATATGCAGATGATACAACCTTGCTTGCTGAAAGTGAAGAGGACTTAAAATACTTCCTGATGGAGACCAAAGACCACAGCTTTTAGTATGGATTGCATCTCAATGTAAAGAAAACAAAAATCCTCATCACTGGACCAATAAACAACATTATAATCAATGGAGAAAAGACTGAAGTTGTCAAGGACTTCCTTCTTCTTGGATCAACTATCAACACTCATGGAGAAGCAGCAGCCAAGAAATCAAATGACATACTGCATTAGACAAATTTGCTGCACAAGACCTCTTTAAAGTGTTGAAGAGCAAAGATGTCAGTTTGAGGGCTAAGGTGTGTCTGACCCAAGCCATGATGTTCTCAATAACTTCATATGCATGTGAAAGTTGGACAGTGAATAAGGAAGATCGTAGAAGAATTAATGCTTTTACGTTATGGTGTTGGAAGAGAATATTGAAAAGTGCCATGGGCTGCCAAAAGAACAAACAGATCTGTGTTGGAAGAAGTGCATCCAGAGTGCTCCTTGGAGGCCAAGATGGCCAAACTTCATCTCTCATACTTCAGACGTATTGTCAGGAGGGACCAGTCACTGGAGAAGGATATCATGTTTGGTAAGGGGGAGGGTCAGAGAAAAAGAGGAAGACCCCCCAACGAGATGGACTGGCAAAAAGGGGCAGTATCAATGGGCTCAAGCATGGCAACAATTGTGAGGTTGGCCCAGGACTGGGCAGTATTTTGTTCTGTTGTGCATAGGGTCGGTGTGAGTCGGAACCGACTCAATGGCACCTAACAACAACATATTTTAGCTGGTGATGTCCCCATTTATAGTTGCCATTTATGCTGTTAAAAAAAGGTATGTGCAATGAAGAAATCATTGGTCTTGTAAAATTCTTTGTGATTGATCTCCAGTGTCATTTCTATCATCAAGGCCATATCTTTCAACTACTGTTTCTTCCTGTTTTTCAACTTTCACATTCAATCACCAGTAATGATCAATGCATCTTGATCACATGTTTGATTAACTCCAGACTGAAGAATTTAGTAGAATTCTTCAATTTCATCATCACTGACTTCTGAAGTTATTATGCAAATTTGAATAGTAGTATTCTGGTCTTCTTTGTTGTAGTTAAGCGCTGTCTACTTGGTCCTGACTCAAGGGTTTCCGAGGAGTGGTTGGTAGATTTAAACTGCCAACCTTACAGTCAGTAGTCCAGTACTTATCCTACAGTGTCAAACCAGGAATCCAGTCTTCATTGTAGATATATAGATATTATTTATCACAAACAGTATGTACTTTAAATAGATATTGAAATGTTCTTTTTGATAACGAACATGAGTCTATTCTTCTTGAATTTGTCATTTCTGACATAGTAAACCATATGATTATCCAATTCAAAATGGCCAATACCTATCCATTTTAACTCACTAATGCCTAGGATATTGATTTCTATGCATTCCATTTCATTTTTGATGACTTCCAATTTTCCTAAATTTATACTTTGTATATTCCACGTTCCAATTACTGGATGCTTCTTCTCATTTTGAGCTGTGCCCCATCAGCAAATGAAGATCCCCAAAATTTTGCTCCATGCATGTCATTGGTCAGCTCTACTTTGAGGCAGCTTTTCTTCAATCATATTTTCAGTGCCTTCCTACCCAAGGGGCTCATCTTTTGGACTATATTAGACAATGTTTTGCTGCTAGTCATATGGTTTTCGATCACTAATCCCTCAGAAGTGGACCACCTATTCCTTCTTTTTAGTCTGTGAGTAGTTTGGAAGCTCTGCAATAACCTGTGCACCAAAAGTTATAATAGCTGAAACACCAGTGACATAACTTCCAGCATCACAGCAACATGTAAGTCAGCACAGTATGACTAACCACTAACAGACATGTGGGGGTGGTGGTCAATACATGTTAGTTCTTTTTATTTCTTTAGTTTCTACCTTAACATCCCCACCTGAGGCTGTGATGACTGGCCAAGTGCTTGACATCCTCTCCCTGGAGCTTGGACTCTGTCCCACGCCCCTGGTTTCATTCCTTGTGATACCACCTGTATCAGTCGCACAACTCGACTGGACCCCAAAGCAACATTTCAGGTGGGAGTTCAGCTAATCACTCCAGCTCACAGGGTAGCTTAGATCTTCCAGCAAGACAAGACTGGCTCTCTTGGTGTCACCTACGTGCTCCCATGCAGTACAACAACAGACTGTTAGGTGAGGTCCACATACTATTTCAGGAGTAAGTTCAGACAGCTACAAAGGTGTAAATGGAAAGCTTCAAGGGCTTAGAATGCAGCAGCTAGAGGAAGCACTTACAAGGGCCTGGAGCTGAGCCTCCTGGGATGCCACGACTTCCCTGGTCTGCTTTAACTTTTCCTCAGAAGCCTGCAAGCTCTGCTCTAGTTCCTTCACCTGAAGGGAAGACAGAAAAAATGTTTCTGATCATAAGAAGCTGAAGAGTAGAAACAAATGACTTTAAAAAATCAAATCAATTAAGTAAGAAATATTTCTTACAGAAAAAAATTAAAATTAGAAGAAAAGATGTTCCTAAGTCTATCATTATAAAATACTAGCACTCTATTGTATTTTCTTCCAGTCTTCTTCTTTTTTTTTTTTTAACAAGGTTGTATACAGTTTAAATGAAACTATATAAAAATTTTGTCTTTTTCCTCACTCATCAGGTTTCACCTTGCGCCTGCCTGTGTAGCCTTTTTCTTTAGATTTGTTTGACTAGAGACTATTTCTTCAAAGGCAACATTGCTTACTTTTGAACATGTCATCAGGAAAGGCCATCCCTAGAAAAGGACATCCTATTTGGTAATATAAGCAGAGAATCACTGAAAAGGAGGGAACCCCTCATTTAGATGGACTGACAATAATCACAACAATGCAATCAAACATATCCAAGAAGACAATCAGAGAACATTTTGTTCTGTTCAACGTTAAGACTATCAAAAGTAGGTCGACTCAGGAAAAGAAAAATAACAAACACAATACGTTGAAATGAAAGGTAAAAGGTTTCAGAGAGAAAAAAATAGCTTGCCTACAAAGGAACAAAAATTAACCTGATTTCAGACTTATCAATAGCAATACTGGCTGCCAAGAGGAAAACAGTCAAACATAGTACACTATCATCAAGTTGATTCTGAATCACAGTGACTCTAGGACAGAGTAGAACTAGAATTGCCCTATGAGATGTCCAAGGCTACAAATCTTTGTAGAAGCAGACACCCACATTTCTTCTATAGAGAAACTGGTGAGTTCAGAAAGGGCTACTGAAAGAAAAATTAAAAAAAAAAAAAAAAAAGAACTGAATATAAAATATTATACCCAGTTGGTTATTCGTGAGGCACACAAGATTGTAGAAGGGTTACCATACAAAGTCCCACACTAAAGTCACTTTTGCATAACTCAGATCATAAGGAAAACAAATCTGGTATATGCATGGTAAATGAAAAGTGAGCCTGATCAAATATCTTAATACAAATTATTCTTTTCAAAATCTCGTATAAAATAAACTTTAAGGCAAAAACTAGCATAATAGATCAAGATGGACATTATATCATGGTTAAAGGGACAATTGAACAAAATGAAATAACCATATTAAATATCTATGCTCCCAATGAAAGAGCGCCAAAACATATAAAACAAACTCTAATAGATCTGAAGAAAGAAACAGATGAATCCACAATAATAGTGGGTGATTTTAATACACCACTTTCAAAAATGGAAAGAACAACCAGAAAGAAACTT